GCATTGGAGAAGGAAATGGCAACCCACTCCAGTGTTCTTGCCTGGAGAATCCCAGGGATGGGGGAGCCTGGTGGGCTGCCATCTATGGGGTCGCACAGAGTTGGACATGACTGAAGCAACTTAGCAGCAGCAGCAGTAGCAAAAGCACCTTACACGCGCCCCTTCCCTCTCACCCTTTCCAACCATTGTCTCAGTATTAGATGCCCTCAAAACACCTTGCATGATTTTGTCACTGTACTTACCACACGGTATGGGATAATTTTGTTACTGACCTATTTTTCCAACTAGGAAAAACTACTTGTTTCTCAAGAGCAAACCCATGTCTCTCATTTCTGTAACCCAGCACCTAGTATTACATCAGATTATCAATTAATATGAGAATTACATAGTCATCTGTATTTAAATAGATTTATAAAAGTACGTTGTAAAATTATATTTAACTCTTAAACTAAAAAAAATAGAAAAAAAGAAGATGGATCCTCCCTGCCCCCTGGCAAAGTAATAGAGGGTACTCTAATGCAAAATGCAATAAGATCCACAATTCCTATTTTAGTTCTATATCAGGAGATAACAAAAGTAATAGAAGTCCAAGTGGAACTAAGGCAACACATGATAAACTGGATTAAGCTAAATCCTACACCTGTCTCATTAGATTTAATGCTATTCATAACAATTAAAATAAACAACAACAGAGTATATAATCTAATAGACACACAGCATTCTATAGATGTAACAATACCTGCTTCTGGTGCCTGGCACCACAACTGCACCACTTTCTTCATTTTTCTTCTGTAAAAATGTTGCAAATCTGTTTCTTGTAGTCAGTGGTGTGCTTAAGGTTTTTTTAGCAGTAGTTCCTTCTACCAGGTCAGGCATGAACAGTTCAGAAGAGTTCAATGACTTATTACCTTCACAACTATTTCTCTTGATCTTCTTTGTAAAGGAAGTAGAATATTGATCCAACATATCATCTTCTGACAGCTCTTCTAAATAAAAATAAGATTATTTGTAAATCTTTATTTCATGACTTGTTAGAGATTTGGTCTCAGTTTCACAGCCTATGTTCTATTGCCCTAAAGATGAAGTCTTTTTTTTTTTTTTGATTATGCATCAGAAAAGAAAAGAAAACAATGATTTTTTTTAAAAAAAAATTCCCTTGGCTGTGTTTTACTGTTTCAAAATTAACTATGATTTAATGTCAATTATTTGTATGAATTTCAGGATACAATCAATTCTGCAAGGCTCCACACCCATTATACTATTTATGTTTAAAAAAAAGGGCCTAATTTTGAATGCAAAAAAAAGAGAAAAATTAAGTGAAGTGAAAGCCACTCAGTCGTGTCTGACTCTTTGTGAACCCATGGACTATATAGTCCATGGAATTCTCCAGGCCAGAATACTGGAATGGGTAGCTGTTCCCTTCTCCAGAGGATCTTCCCAACCCAGGGATCGAACTCAGGTCTGCCGCATTGCAGGTGGATTTTTCCCTCTTCCTCTACAGAAGAGGAAAAAAAATATTGTAGGATCCCCAGAAAGCCCACCAAGAAGTTACACTATGTTAACCTCATTTTCTTTTTATGATAAGGTTGTTAGATTATCTGTTTTGAGAAATTCATAGATTTAGTATATCCTGAATTGAACAAGACACTTCAGTGTCTCATATTATCATAGTGGACAATGCAGAGCAAACGTTATTATATATTAGTTACAAGAATTTGCAGCGAGTTGAATAGCCAGACAGACTACTGGTGACTATTAGTCTGAAAGGAGGTCTGTCTCTACTACAGGGCTCTAGATTTCCACTAGAACTAATATGTGATTTTAGTAAGTTTCAAAACACAAGATTAATATACAAAAATCAAGTGTATTTTTATATACTAACAATGAACCAAAAATTGCAGTTAAAAATATTATTTATAACAGCATCAAAAATCTGAAATATAGGGATAAATTTGGCAACATATGTGCAAGATCTGTACACTAAAAACTACAAAGCATTTCTGAAGGCTTAAACTAAAGAAGACTTAAATAAATGGGTCCGAAAACTTGATATCATTAAGATGCCAATTCTCCACAAAATAATCCATGCATGTGTCAAGTGGCTTCAGTTGTGTCTGATGTGACCCTCTGGATTGTAGCCTGCCAGGTACCTCTGTCCAAGGGATTCTCCAGGCAAGAATACTGAAGCAGATTGCCATGGTCTCCCCAGGTGATCTTCCCACCCCAGGGATTGAAATTGAATCTCTTACTAAGTCTCCTGCACTGGCAGGTGGGTTCTTTACCACTAGCACCACCTGGGAAAATAATCTATAGATTCAACTAAAACCCAGTCAAAACCTTAGCAGACTCTTTTTTTTTTTCTTTTTTTAAAGAAATTGACAAGTTGGTTTTAAAATCTGCATGGAAATGCAAAGAACACAAAATAGTCAAAACAAGTTTTCAAAAGAACAAACTTAGGGACTTACTTTACCTGATTTCAAGACTGACTATAAAGGTACAATAATCAAGACAGTTTTTCTGGCATAAAGTAGGAGGAGACCAATGGTACAGAATAATAGAGCCCAGAGAGAGACCTGCACATATATGCTCAACTGACTGTCCACAAATGTGCCAAGACACTTCAACAGAAAAAGGATAATCTTTGAAACAAATGGTGTTAGAACAACTGAATTGCCATATACAAAAAAAAGTGAACCTTGATCCTTACCTCACACGATATAAAAAATTAATTCAAAATAGGTCAAAGGCCTAAATGTAAGAACTAAAACTATAAAACTTCTAAAAGAAACAGGAAAAAAATCTTNCCTGCCAGGCTCCTCTGTCCATGGTATTTTCTAGGCAAGAATGCTGGAGTGGGTTGCCATTTCCTTTTCCAGGGCATCTTCCTGACCCAGGGATCGAACCCACGTCTCCTGCATTACAGGTGAATTCTTTACCACTGAGCTGCCTGGGAAGCCCCTTTGCTAGTCCTTTTGCTTTCCATTAAATGTGTCTTGTATGCCTAGATCTGTTTTTCTCCTAATGTGGGTCAGGCAAACTTGTTAGATCATTTTTAAGAAATAAAATATATCTTCCTAAGATGAGCAGTGCAAGAAATAAAACTACACTTGAAGAAGTATGATCAGAAAAAAAGTACTTTTAAAATTTGAGTAATATTTCAATATACAATATTTAGTTTAATAATCATCTAGCAAATAAGCCTCTAATTACAGACATATCCTTTACAAAGGATCTGAAAATTAAAACCATAAAATTATATATTTAATCAACTGTCATATCTTCAGAACTTGGATGAGCTCAAATGGAAACAATCTTATTTACGAAACAATAATTTCTTTAATGGACAATATCTATGTATTAAATGGGTAACTATTAGTGAATAATACCTATGTATTAAATAGAAAGCTACTTTGGTCTACACTGAATAATGCATAAAACTTTCTCTGAGAAAGAGCTTATTTTCAATAAAGATTGGTAAATAATCATTTTTAATGCTAATAGAAGTTATTAAATATAACTTGTATAATAAATTATTGTATAATTTATATACAATAAATATATTTTAGATGACAATGATCTGCTAAAAGGATGTCAATGATACTCTAATAGAGTAGAAAAGGGAAAAATTAACAATGGTATAAAAAATGCTGGTACTAAGAATGTGAGTTCCATGCGACAAAAGTCCCACTAAATCTGGAATCTAATCTTTCACTTAAAGAAAGGATTAAATATAAAAATAAATAAAAAACAAGGTGACATTATTCACAATATATCTTAAGAATGAACAAGAGTCAAGAATTAACTTAGAATCATTGAGAAAAAAGGTATAATAAAAACAGCTTAAGCAGTATAGGTCATGGCATTAGATCTCATTGATGGTTTCATTTAAAAAAGAGAGAAATAGGAGAGTAGAAAATCTGATTGGGAAGAACACACTTTAGATAAATAATAATAATTAGCTTGATGTACAATTAGTGGTTCTGAAAGAAATGTCCTCATGAAATAAAAGATCTGATAAGGATTTGGTTTCATGAAGGATGGCCGTCTTAGTGATCCATAACATTCCCAATGATATCTGAACATTTTCAATACAACCAATTATTTTTGAGTTTCTGAGACAAAGGAAAAACTTGAGAATCATTCTCAATGAAATTATATTAATATCAGTAATTCAAATGTGTAAAGAAGATAGCAGAATAAAGACTTTTCAGTCCCGCTAGTCTAGAAACTTACAATTTTGAGGTAAATAAGTCACACAGCTGTAATGTATATCACCGGGAATGCAGTCATCCCTTAGTGGCTGCAGGGGATTGGTTATAGGATCCTTTCAGATATCAAAATCCACGATGTTCAACTCCCTTACATAAAATGGAGTGGTACTGTCAGCCCTCCACATCCATGGATTCACTCTAATTGGATCTGCGGTTGGTTGAATCTGCAGATGCCCACAGATAAGGAGGGCTGTACAGTCAATGATATTGTGGAACCTCCCTTATGGTCCAGGAGTTAAGACTCTGTGCTTCCAATGCAGGAGGCATGGGTTTGTTCCTGATCAGAAAACCAAGCTCCCTCATGCTGGCATGGCCAAATAATGATAATAACTCTATATGGTGAAAGATGGTAATTAGACTGACCATGATAATTTATTAATGTATATAAATATTGAATCACTATGTTTACACTTGAAACTAATATGTCAATAATGATTCAATAAGAAAAAAATCACGCCCAAACCAATAAGAAACAAACTCCATCTGCAGAAAAATTAGGAGATATCTGTGACTTCCAAACCATAGTGAAGACAAGGGTATAGACAGAAAAATTTAAAGAACCTAGCCCAAGGAGGGAGGGGTAAGATAGGGGTAGGAGATTAAGAGGGTACAAACTATTAGGTGTAAAAAAGCTACAAGGATATACTGTACAATACAGGGAATACAGCCAATATTTTATAACTATAAAGTATAACCCTTAAAAATTGTGAATCACTATGCTGTACCCCTGAAACATATATTATACATCAACTATATCTCGATAAAAAGATAAAAATAAAGAACCTAGCTTAAGAAAGATCAAACTCATGTGTCTGCAGAAAAGAATGATGCCAATTCCACGTACAGAAACTTAAGAGAAAGACTTGAACCAAGTACCACGGAGGCCGCAAGTAGGCGGAGGGCTGAGAAAAGGATTATATGGCTCCTGGGCCCTCATCTTCAATCTGTCCAATATGGTCAATTCATACCCATCTGCCTTCAGAGCAACCAGACCTTCGAAACCCACAAACAGTAACATAAAAACTTCGAAAGGTGAGAAGATCTCTAAAGACAGGGATTGTCTAAAGACAGGGATTGACTAAAGACAGGGATCAAATGCAAGGTTAAATATTGAATGGTGGGATTAGCCCTACCCCTTCCCAAAGAAAGAAAAGAAAGTTAGTCACTCAGTCGTGTCAGACTTTCTGTGACCCTGTGGACTGTACCCACCAGCCTCCTCTGTCCATGGGATTCTCCAGGCAAGAATACTGGAGTGGGCTGCCACTGGGTTGAGATCTTCCCAATGCAGGGATCAAACCCAGGTCTCCCACATTGCAGGCACTCTTTACTGACGAAGCCACTAGGGAAACCCACCCCTTCCTGGTCCATCCCAATTTATTTTCCCCATCTTGCTCTCAAAATGTTTGCCTAGCTAAGTAGAAATTGGAGGATCCCATTTTAGAAAAAAGAACTGTACAGAGAAAACATGCTGATGCTTGAGAAATCACAAAACAAAGCCAGCTTGTTGCTAACCAGTTCAACCAAGAGTAATAAAACCCAAGACTATAAGCCCCACTCATTTACACAAAGCTTCTTAAGCTTCTCAGTGCCTCTCCTCAATAGGAACAAACTGACAAGAAGCTAGGTGTTAGAAAAGTCTCCACCATAAAAGAGAAAAGCCAAAACACATAGGAAAAAAAAAAAATCCAAAGCTAACAGAAATAATGCAGAGAAGAAAATGTATAAGAGAAATTTAATATTAAATTTCTGAGAGGAGTGGGAAAGAGGAGAGTATATTCATGAAATGAAACAAAGTCTTTAAAAAAAAAAGCACAATTAAAGAAAAGGTTCTTCGATATGAAAATGATAACAAAAACTAAATATTGATCAGAATTTTCTGCAATGATAGAAAGGTTCCGTGCTGTCCAACATGGTAGCCACTGAGGACTTGAAAAGTGACCAATGCAACGGGAGAACTAAAATTTAATTTAATGTTAATTTAAATAACCGCCTGTGGTCAGTGGCTACATACTGGACAGCACAAAGCTGAAAGACAAAATAGAAAAAAAAGTTTCCCCCAGGAAGAAAAGAAGACAAAGACATGAGTAAGATAGAAAAGTTCCAGAATCTAAAGACCAGGAAAAACCAATACCTAACTGATAGAAGTTCTAGAAACAGAACAGAGAAATCAGAAAAGGAGAAACAGCAACCTGAGTATAAGGATTATATAATTTGAGCTGATGAACATAAAGTTCTTTTTTAGTATCATTATAAATTTGTGCGCTCTTAATAAGCTTGGCTTATTATTTCAGCTGACAGTAATGATTCTTCTCAACGCTCAACTTGTCACGAGTTTCTCTGTGGCCATGTTCTTTAGGCTTATCTCGTTTTCTTTCTCAAGGTGCTCTGATTCATTTAGCTGGTAAACTGAGACATTCTTGGTCCAGCCAAAACGAACTACTTTGAGTACCTTTAACATGCTATTCTCTTCCATACATGCTATTCCTTTAGCCTGGAACCACTCACCCATTTTGAAAATCCCTACTCATCTTCGTAAATCCAGGACATACACTACCTCCTCTATTAGGAGACACTAGAGGGCTTGGCTTGGAATCAGAACTCCCCTATTGATAAAATGTATGACCTGGCAAGTCACCTAATCTCCCTCTAATTGTTTCCTCATCTGTAAAGTGGAAATAATGGTACTGTCGTCAGAGGCTTGTTACAGAGTAAATAAGTTACTATGTTTAATGTGCTTAGAATGGCACTTAGAAAACAGCTCAATAAATGTCTGCTATTATTATTATTAAAAGGTATTCTCTTTTTCGGTGGAGTTAAATGCATCCCCTTTGTTTCCATGGAGCCTAGAATACATCTCTATTATGGGATATACCATATTTCTATGTATATAACCATGTGTCTCTTCCTTAGACAATGAGTATCTTATAAGCAAGGATTATGCTCTGTTTTTCTTTAGATTCCGGAACATTCCAGAGTATGTTTGTTACAATGCTTAATAAATGCTTAGTGAAGAACTGAATGGGGAGTAAAGGTAAAGATCTGGATTAGACTAGAAACTATGAGAAAGAAGTAACTTAACGAGAAAGACAAAAAATAAATAGGAGGACTTAGCAATGAAAGAGAAGCCAGGGGTGGGGGAGAAACAAAATAGATGAAGGAGATTAAGAGGTACAAAAGACTAGGTATAAAATAATTAAGTTACATGGATGTAATGTACAGCACAGTGAATATAGTCAATACTTTATAATAACTTTGTATGCAGTATAATCTACAAAAATGTCAAATTACTCTATTATAGACTTGAAACTAATATAGCTGACCCTTGAACAATGTGAGGGTTAAGCTGAGTATACCTGATAGTTGGCTGTCTATATTTATAGTTCTCTATCACCTGTGGAATCAACCAACCATAGATGGTGTAGTAGTATAGTATTTACTGTTGAGAAATATACATGAATAAGTGGATGTGTGCAGTTCAAAGCCATATTATTCAAGGGTGAATCATATAATATTGTAAGTTAACAATACTTCAATTTAAAAAAAAAATTAAATTCCAAATTTTCTGGTCTGAGAGAATAATAGAGATCATGTAACTGACATTCATTCATTACCAAAAAAATGGTAAATAAAATATGGCAATGAATATCACAAAATCTTGCCATTATGAAGATTACAGTCTATTGGAAAGAATCAGAAAATAAACAATTGAGACATAATTTATGATGCAATAAGTGATAAAAAGAATAAAGGGAAGCTGATAAGAAAGAGTTTGCTTTTGATTGTAGACAGATTTAAGGTTATAAAAAGTACTTACGTAGACACAGGAGACATTTAGAATTGTTGTGGCTGGTACACAGATTAGAGACTGTTAAAGATGTGCAAGTCCTCTGCATAAAATGAGATAATTAGAGTCATGGTGGTGGTGATTTAGTTGCTAAGTTGTGTCCAATTCTTGTGACCCCATGGACTGTAGCCTGTCAGGCTCCTTTATCCACAGGATTCTCTAGGCAAGAATACTGGAATAGTTTGCTATTTCCTTCTCCAATTAGAGTCATAAGAACTTATTAAGGAATAAATTTGAACGTAAGAGAGAACAGAGTCTGAATGGAGATAGGAACAGAAAAGAGAGAATGATGGAAGTGTACATCACAAAAGATATATAGACATACTATTGGGAAAAAGAAAATAGGAGAGGGATGAATGACATACAGCAGAGGTACTCAGTAAGTACTGCTAAACTGTGAATGAGAGGAAAAAAAGTTTTTACTCCCGAGGTATTTCTAGATTTGAGTCTTCAACAATGCCAAATGCCAGAGGTTGGATTGGGTGAGATGAGAAAAAGGCATTAAGCACTTGGTATATTCAAAAAAATGTTCAAGTATAAAGGTCTTATATTATGTGGTCACTTTTTAAGAAAATTAACCAATATACCCATTGGTTCTAAGAGATATATTGTCTCTAGAATTGAGTTGTTTTCAATCAACATTCTGTACAGTGCCTGGATGCAGAAATGTTTAAAAGATGTTTACTAAGTGAAGATTTGCCATTAGTCTTAGTTCCTAAGCAATAACAAAATATGCTTTTAGAAAGAAGTCTTTAATATGTTACCATGGCAGTGTCTGGATTGTAGTCATCGATCTGCTTGAGAGTGTTTATATCTTTATTCCCAAGTGCTATTTGAAGAGCTATAGAATCATCAACATACCTAGGTTGGTAAGGTTAAGGAAAAATAATTTTATTAACAGCCAAACAAACAATACCATATTAAGACAGAAAAGTGTGATCTATTGTCAGAGAAAACCTTCAGGTTTATGACTTCAATGGACCCTACTTCCTTTCCACATTTGGCTTTACTGAAACCACATGATAATTTACTTCCTTTTCACATTCGGCTTTAGTGAAACCACATGATAGTTTTCAGCAGGAGTTGGCTATTTTCTGAAGCAAAGCCCTAAGGCATCACTTACTTCCTGTCAAGGGAGATGGAGAGGAAAGCCCTGCCATTACCCAGGTGACTCACAGCTCCACATCACTCTGTATGTACATGGCCAGTGGCTCTGCAGAAAGCATCCTCAACTGGTGTACTCACACGACCAGAGTGTTCTTCCTGATTAATTGAGCTTGCTCACCATGAGTGGTTCTCCTCAGTGCCACCTTTGGAGTATGTACCTTAAGTGGCTGACTACATATTTCTGTCAAGTCAATCTAAGTAATTAGCAAGTTATAATGGATGAGCTTCAGATTTATAAACAAAAAGTTACTTGAAATTTTTAACTTGCAAGATAATTAAATTTAACAAAATAAAGATTCCACTATAAAAAAAAAAAGCCAAAAACAATTTGCCAGCTTTTGACTGAATGTCTAGCTAAAAACACCACCACAAAGACATGAAAGGAATGCAAACTTCTACCATTCTGGTTCAGAAAGGATACTGCCCAGCATAGCTTAGTGTTTTGGGATCAATGTCATCTTCATAGGCATTCAGAGGGATGAGCTTCCTTTTGATGGGATCAAAAACAAGCTGATAGAGGAAGGTATTGTTGGCCCGAATAAATCCTTTGATGTAATCTTCTGGTACTGTTATATTCATCTTGAGATAATGTCCAATTTTCCTGATGACCTAGTAATGAGTATAAATATATTTATGAGTTATTTAATACCCGAAGATAAAGAATAGGGAAAGTGTTATTCCCAAGACCCATCACTTTACATTAGAGAAGGATGAGGAGGGGTAGGAAAATCAATTGCTTTTGGAGGGGGGTAGTATAATTGCTTCACAGTGTCATGTTAATTTCTGCTGTACAATGAAGTGAATCAGCCACATGTATACATAATACATATTCCCTCCTTCCTGGACCTTTCTCCCATTCACCCCAACCCACCCATCTCAGTCATCATACAGCTACATTAAAAACCTCGACCAGTAAACACAACCATGTCATGACTTAAAATTCAAAGATATGTTCTTCACCTTCAAAGTCTCTTTCATCCAGAAAGCAAAAAACAAAACATACAATTACCTGAGAATTTGAAAAAAAAAAAAACAAAAAAAAAACCCACAAATACTTGTAGATCATATTTCAAAAAAGAAGTCAACATTTTAACTCCTATTAGAGTTGTGGATGATTAAAGCTGCAAGAGATGAAGAAGAGAAGACCCAGAGAACTGAAGTGATCCTGAAGTCACAAGCTAGTTAGTAATGTTGCTCTGTTTCAAAACCTGCTACCATCTCCCAACCTTGAGATCTGTCTACTCCAGTACACCACCCTTAGCCCTGAGGACTCACATTATATAATCTTGGAAATTCTGCTCTGCAAACTCTAAGGGCTTAAGAGAACTACTCAAGGCAGGGTGAGGGTGGGAATAATCTACTTGATTTTTTAAGGAAAAGACATCAGAGAACTTATACAGCAGTGATGTAATGAGGTCTCAAAGTTTCTTCAGAAAATACATGACACTTCCTCAAACTGTATGAAGTAAGAATCTGGCTGTATTTTATTAAGCCATGTTAAAGAGATTTACATAAATATGCAATTCCGCTCATAACTTTCATTTGCTTTAGAAGACAACTACTTCTCATAAAAATATGATGTCTATGTTACAATGCAATGCATTGATTACTGTTAATTTTAAGTGAATTAATAAACATTAAAATTCTTTTCTTTCAATTTCTGACTCAGTAAATTTCAGTAGCTATAACCCATATAAACAAAAATAATTGTCACAAAGAGTTTTTAAGATTGTAAAGGGATCCTGTGAGACCAAAAACTTTGAGAACCGTTACCACAGAACAATAGGACAGAAATCAAAAAATTGTGCATTTTAACATGAATTCTACCCTATAATATCTTATCCTGAAGTTTCTTTATATTAGTCTTCATTTTCAAAAAACTACTACTAATTTTTTGTCAGCTGCTGAAAACAGGATTCATTTGCTGCCAAAAGCAAAGTTGTAGAGTTTTAATCATTTCTCCTTTCAATGACACAATATTGGTTATGAATATAATAGAATATTTAAGATCCATATTCTGACTGATTCATCTATTATTTAAGAATTGCTTAGAAACTGAACAGTTGGTAAATCACTCTTACCTTTAAAATATCTGGATTGTTGGCTAGTCTTAGTAGTTTGCAGGCCTTGGCTAATCCAATCCCACGCAGTGATGAAAGATAGTCACAGCCTGAAAGAATGCACATATAACGGAACTTCTCTTCTGTGAACACATCCCCAAGCTGTTTGCACATTCCCAGACGAGCCTGATCAACTTCTAGTCCATTTCCAAACTGGTCCATTTTTAAAATAACCTTCAAGAGGAAGGGAAACTGTGAACACCTGTAAGAGTCATTTTTATTTTTCATCATCTAATCCACTGTAGTATTTCTAAGAAATCTTTCCTGTTCTTTATCATAAGTGAGCAGACAGATACGTAGGCCAGGTAATCATTGTGAAATTTGCAAATAAGTTAAATTGAAACATAGGCCATGGCTGGACAATGTCATATGCCACTACTCAATCATTTTGCCTCTGGTGTAAAGAAGGCCCTTTCTGCACCTACTTCCTACCTGCACTACAGGGCTATCGTGTCAAAGAGCAATACTTACAAAAAGCATCTTCTCCTCACCTTCCACTTTTACATATTAAAGTAACCCTTCACTTAGTCTTAAAGTAATACATGTCACTTGTAGAAAATGTGGAAAACAGAAATCCAGGAAGAAAACAGAAATTGCCCCAAATGTCTGATCTATCAGTATTACCCAGCATCAACATTTTCACAGATCCCACTCATCATTTGTGAAATAGATAATATAAATAACATAGATATTAACAAAAATGAGATCACTCTATATAGTTTTGTATCTTAATATCATAATAAAATTTTCCATTAAATTGTTTTATACATAATTCTAAAAAACTGCAAAGCATCTCATTAGTAGATAAGTTAGCTTATTTACTTAATCTAATTGAGAAATATAAAGCATATAAGTAATCATTATTACAAAATAAGGCTACATTCCACTACAGAATTTAGAGAAAACAACAAAATCCTCTAACTTTAAGGGCTTAATCTGAAAAATCATTCAGATTATACAAATGTCAAGCAGCAAAACCTTTCTTCCCTTTTTAAATAAAATAATCATTAACACCATAAGTAGATATTAGTTGCAGGTATTAAATAAGATAGAAAAACTTCAGCTCCTTGATTTATGTTAGGTACCTTTTTACAGCCAAAAGCAAGGAGATCAGAGTCCTCCGTGATTACGGCTTGTACAATGCCAGCCTTGTTAAGATAGGCCAGCTGTGCATCCGCTTCATATGGGGCCACAAGACAGTCTACTCCCTGAGACCGAGCAGCCTGTGAGAAAGGGTTAGTCAGTCTCAAGAGCAGCATCTGGAAACCACTGAACAACTTCCTGTATCAAACCCATTTATCACCAGCCTCAACACGTACTGAATACATGCTAGTATTATTTTTGGAAGTCATTTCCTTTGAAGTACAGGTTTCTACTTTTAGTCCTAAATATTGAACTACATATAGTCCTATATATTGAATCATATAGCCGCTAATAAATCTATTTTAAAAATCAATGTATGAATTAGGGAAAAAGAAATATTGCTGTACATTTGGGGGGGATACAAGCTGCAAACTCAATTTTTCAAATTATAGAAAAATTATAGAAATCTACCATCTTAAGAATGATTGTGCTCTAAAGAACACGAGTCGCTCATTTCCCCATAATCTCTTATCACAGAACACAAGCCTGACACTGAACTGATGAAATGAACAGACTCTCTAACTATCTATCTTCCCATCTGTTTATCAAATAGTTTGAACACAGACCTGAAAAGGGTGAAGTGTGGGCTGTAACTGTGGGTGTGCTGACACTAAGATTTATGGTAATAGGTAATAAGGAAAGAAGCTTCTAAGAAGCAGGTCAAGTGGAACTGATCCGCTGCAAATGTTCTGAGTTGGCCAGTTGACTTCAATAAATCTCTGACAGACACTCAAGAGTAAGTGTTAAAGATTATGAGTGGGGTGGGATTGAACCTCCAGGAATTTATTCCTTCCATATTGGCAGAAAACATTTACTATGTAAGTGACTCATCTAGAAAGTGAGAGCTGAGCTGTTTGCTCCTCAGGATTTCTTCTCTGGAAACTGCTGCACTCCTCTCTTCTACCTACAGATACACTTCTCTTTCTTCCTCTGACAACCAGCTTTCGTAAAGGTTAGACCTAGAATAATCTTCCTCCCTTCACTTCCTTGCTCTCCCATTAGCCTAAATGAACCCTGCATTGTTACTTTAGCTTCTTATTCAGCTCACTTTAATTACGTTGTGGGCCATAGTATGTGTGATATTGATAGAACGTGTGAAACATTCTCTGGCTTCTGAGACCTTCCCTTCACGAAGAAGCTGCTTTCCCTTAAGGAGATTGGCTTGTCGTCGTCTGCAAGATTAAAAAAAAAAAAAAAAAAACTGAGAAGAGGACTCAAAAAATTACAATATTATACCCTTGAATTGTATTCAAGAATTTTTCCTGGGATAAAAAATGCTTGACTCATATGAAAGTGCACACCTGTTCCTTGACTATGCTAACCCAGATCTTTTGGGCTTCTAGACAAAAAGAGAACGGATTTACAGTGCCCATACGCACAAGCTAATCACCAAACTTTCTCACAGCACTGCTTCATGTCAAAAGAAAGTGAAGTAATGAAGACACGTTAAGAAAATGTAAGTCAAGGCTTTTATATCATTAAAACTAACTTTCTATTATAAAGGGTACAACTTCATCAACTCCATTCAGTGAAGTTTACTTCTATTTGGGGCTGATTCACACTACCTTTAACTAAGCTCAGTGGTATCTCCTATAGAGCATAATGACTCCTAAAAACCAACAGAGGATAAAAACAAAAATAGATGAAAGTCGTAGAACAGACACTTCACTAAAATGCAGAAATTCTTAAAAGAAAATACAGAAATCCTTTATAAGGTCTACTGTAAAAAGATTCTGTGCTAGATTCTGTTGACTTAAATATGAAAGATACAATTTCAATTAAAACTACTAAAAGAATAGAAATAGAGTACATCACTTCAACTAGAAATAAGGGACGATAATAAGAGTGGAAAAAACAATCAACCCAGAAATCAAACAAGGTGGGAGGTATATGTTAGTAATTAAGATCAAGGTAAAAAGAATAAAACTACAGTTTTAAAAATGACAAAGACTGATGGAAGCAATAAAAAAAAATTACAGTGTTGTGTTCTTTATAAAAGACAAACTTAAAACAAATGTCACAGTAAAAGTCAACAGAAAAAGAAATTAGGAACATACAAAAGAAAATTGTTATGGCTATATTAACATCAGACATAATAGACTTTAGAACAAAAAAGCACAGAAATTTTAAAAAGTCAGTGCATATTGTTCTAATATGCCAAAAAATAACAAATTCTAAACTTGAATGCCAACAATAAAATAGTTTCAAAACAAAGCAGGAAGAAAAATGGACAGAACTACAAGGGAACTGACAATTCCACTATTATAGTGAAATTTTATCATACTTTTCTTAGTAATTGATGGATTAAGTAAAGTGAAAGTTGCTCAGTTGTGTCCGACTCTTTGCGACACCATGGACTGTAGCCAGTCAGTCTCCTCTGTTTATGGAATTCTCTAGGCCAGAATACTGGAGTGGGTAGCTGTTCCCTTCTCCAGGGGATCTTCACAACCCAGGGATCAATCCCAGGTATCCTGCATTGCAGCCAGATTCTTTACTCTCTGAGTCACCAGGGAAGCCCAAGAATACTGGAGTGGGTAGCCCATCTCTTTTCCAGGGGATCTTCCTGACCCAGGAATCGTACTGGGGTCTCCTGCATTGCAGTTAGATTGTTTGCCAGCTGAGCTACCAGGGAAGATCATTAAGTAGGATTAAATAGACACACATTAAAAAAATTTCAAAAAACCAATAAGGATATGGAAGATTTGAACACTACAACCAATAATCTTGATTTACTGGACAGACATAAAACTATCCACTCAATAACTGAGGAATACACATTCCTTTCCAGCATGCATGGAACATTTAAGGAACTCCATTTAGGTATGAGTTTAAAACAAGCCTCAACATACTAAAACAAAAATTTGTATCACAGAGACCACAATGTCAGACCTTAAATAATTACGTTAAGGTATCACTTACTCTCTTCTAGACTTTTCCACTTCCTTTTTAGAAGGTAAAGTACATCCATCAAATACCAGGATAGGCTTGATCCCATGAGATAGTAACATATTTACAAATTTCATACAAAATCCTACATACCTATGAAAATGAAGAAAAATAATTAAGAAAGATAAACTCTAATTTAGACTTGGATTCAAATCCTGCCTTGGATCCTAATGGGCTATGGGCTATTTGTTTTCCTTAGGTGTAGATTAAAGACTTTTACATTTCCGCAGTTCTGACATTGTATTATTCTAAATCTAGTCTTTTTATCTCCCCACCCCTCACCCCTGTTTTCTTCTGCTTTGAGAAATTTCAAATCTATTGAAAAGTTAAAGGAATAGTAGAATACATGATTTCTCCAACAACATCATTATTATACCCAAGAAACTTAATAGTAATATAATACTATCTAATATACAGTCTATATTAAAATTTATCCAATTGTCTCAGTAAGGTTATAACCATGGTGACCCGATAAATGTATAACAACCAGTTCTGGGGAAAGGGGTGCCTGATTTGTAGCATTTGTCAATTTCCTTGACATGAATATTCTACAATGGTGGATAAACTACCAATGTAGGATCATTAAATGCTGAACTGGAGAAGATGGTGTATAGTAAACTCACATAAGTTGACTGTAGCACAGCACTGCTATAGTTTTTCCCCCAGTGCAGGATGCAAACAAGAATCATGTATTGCATTTAGATTTTCTGGCAGGGCAACTAAAAATACTATGTGTAGATTCATTCCAGGGTCACAAGGCATTCGTCCTGCCTCAAATGAAGGCACAGAGTTACGACTGGATATCAGAATGGCCACTATTTTTGGCCCCAAGTGAAGTAAAACGGAATGAGAACACCGTGCCCCTTAGAAACAACTGCCTTGTTTTGCTAACAGGGCTTAGCAAATGTGTTGCCTGTACCCAGTAAAGCAGAATTCTGAAATCGCCATGGATTTTTAGAATATTGTTAAAAAGTTTTATCTTAGATAACACAAAAAAGAAGAGAGTCTTTGGCCTTTGTCCTTTAGTGTCCTAATACTCTGGCTTATTAGAAAGAATGGAAACTAGACCTACATCAAAGAAGGAAATGTTCCTTGGCAATATTCTAAAGCATATATTCTCACTTCTTGCATTGAATAAAAATGACTCCTTTCTGAAAAAAAGGCATTGTAAGTCTCATTCTTAACTGGCAAATAATTAATATAAGATCCAAACTTACTTATCAGTAGGTTCACCTTTGGCTAGCTTTTCTGCACAAGCAACAGCTCCTTTGTGAAGCCAGCAATATGTATCCACAGCTACCACCTGCCCTTTATACTTCCTTATGTGTATAGGTTCAGAAGCTTCTTTGATAAATTGCAGCAATCCATGTATCCCCATAGTGCCAAGTTAACTACATGATATAAAAAGAGAAAGGGAAAACAGCAAAATTTAAAGCAAAATATATTTACCCCAAAGTTTTGGAAAAATAAAAAGAGCTTGGAAATTGATATAGCAACTGTTATTGTTCAGATATTTGCGAATCACTGCTCTTTAATATTTCAAGTGGGCACTTCTCTGCCAAACAATCTCCATAGTCTAGTACCCTAATCTAATGCCACTTGATAGTTCCTTACTGTTTACTCTAAGCCCTTAACACTGAACAAAGCAGGCAGAAGGTACTAAAAAAGTGTGAGTCTGTCTTCTCTCCAAAAAGGCACTGTTAACATCTACAAAATTGTGTATGCTATGATATTACCTGCATCTGCACAGGCATTATATGAAATAACATGCAAAATACTTCGTAGGACATTTCAACTGAAAAATAAAACAAACAATTCTAGAACTAAAGCTGTACTTTTTTAGGACTGAAATTTACCACCATCAGAGTGCTTTATTCCAAGCAATGAACATTCTGTTAATAAGCAGTGGTGGTGCCCAGGGGCAATTCCATCAGACTCGCTGAAAACTATCCCCAAATAAGGAGAAACTGCACCTGCTGTCCAATTACTTTTGAGAAAAATGTTTTAGCTTTCCACCCTCTTCCATCCAAGTTGCAGCCCCAAGTCTCCTTTCTATACAGAAACCTGCAGCTGCCAGTCCTTTCCCAAGCAACTAATGTCCCCTCCCCAACCCCCATGACAAAAATTGAGCAGTTGCTTAGCATTTCCTAAAATAAATCTCTTCAAAGAGGTATTAAGTCTGGGAGGAAAAGAAGAATGTACAAGATCAGAAGACAGACTCACGCTGTTGATACCCTGTATCAAAGTTCTGATAGTCTAGTACAGCAGGTTTCAAATGTCAGTTCTTCCTACAGTCTAAATTCCACTCCTAGGGACTATGATTCACTAGTCCTCGAGTGAGGTGGGAATTCTGAATTTTAAACAAAGCAGGTCATTTGGATGCAGGAGGTCCTCACACCACAGTTTATGAAAAACAATTTGTCTCCTACCTCTCAGAGGTTCCTAAAAAGAGTTTTCTTTCTTTGAGGAAAATTCACATGGTATATGCTGGTGTTTAGTTGCCAAGTCATGTCCGACTCTTTTGCGACCCAGTGGGCTGTAGGCCGCCAGGCTCCTCTGTCGATGGGATCTCCAGGCAAGAATACTGGAGTAGGTTGTCATTTCCTCCTCCAGGGGATCTTCCCAACCCAGGGATCAACTCTCATCTCTTGTCTCCTCAACAGGCGGTTCTTTACCACTAGCGCCACCTGGGAATCCCCAAGGCGGATTCTTTACCACTGACTACCAGGGAAGCCCGACATAATATATACATTTCGTGCAACTTACAAGTTTCTCCTAAACGTTTCCTCTTTAGCACAATTAAACAGTGGAGGGGGTCGGGGGTTTTAGGCACAAAGCGTCCTCAGGGGACCGCCCGCGGCATCTGGCAGTACTGACAGCACGACGTCATGGCTCCATCCCGCGTCTCACGAACTGGAAGGGGGGCCCACACGCCCTTTCCAGAAGACACGTTCCTTTGGCCTGCACAGCGTGGAGAATATAGTTGTCAAGCATCTGCAAGGTGGGAGGTTGCGGGTAAAACTGCCGTGGTAGCTTCCGCAGGAAAACGAAAGGGCCCTCCCTCCATGTCAGCCAAACCGCAGCCCTGGTCTGGCTGAGCGTGCTCCCCTGGCCCATACAGCCCCGCACCGTCCCCCAGGGCCGCCGCAGGGTCTAATTACGTGCCAGATCCTCCTCTTCAGCCCCTAAGACCGGGGATCCCAAGGGCAGGGGCGGGGACCAGCCTGGAACCACCGCGTGCTCTGCACAGCCGGCTCCACTGGCTTCCCGGGGAGGTCCCTCCTCTCCCGTCCGTCCGATGGCAGCTGGGTGCGGACTTAGAAGCCCAAGGCCACGGCCCTCACTCACCTGGGCCGCCGCGCGCCAGCCGGCAGCGCCAAAAGCTAGGAGCAAGGACGCTGCGCAGCACCGAGGGCCCGACTTTTCAATTTGCGCGGGATGGCCCGAGACTCCGCCCAGAAGAAGTGACGTCAGCTCCTCTGCGACGTCTGGTCGTCTGCTCCGCTTCCTACAGCTTCCCGCTTCCGGCCTGAGTCACCAGGTCCTGGCCACCTGGGTACCTGCCGCCGCCACCGCAGTCAGCCCCTGGACTCCGAAGCGTCCTTATGGAGGGGTGAGCGGAGCTGGCTCAACTGCCTTACAGGGCATGGCTCCCGGAACGCGCATTGAGTTCCTTTCGCAGGCTGATGGAGTCGTGGATCTCTCCCAAATGCTGCCTCAGGCCCAGGCGCTGAAGCTGGGAGAGCGCCGCCCTGTGTTTATGTTGAGGTTTCTAAACTTAAAATGGGTCCTGGCTGAAATTGTCCCTAGTGCTTACCCTGGCTCTTGACAGGCGCTGCACGTGGGTTCCAGGGACGCAGAAGGTGCAACTTGAGGTGTATATTCCTTGGACCCTTCCAGTAGACTTCGGGAAGGGGAGGACGCGCTTACTGAGTACTTTAATTGATAAGTGACAGAGTCTTTACTTAACCTGACTGGCCGGGCTCCTCTGCCCTCTTCTCAACTAGGACTCAACCTTGATTAACATCAAGTGCACATCCCTTGGGCTTCCCTGGTGGCTCAGTGGTGAAGAATCTGCTTGCCAGTGCAGGAGACACGGGTTCCATCCCTAGGTCGGGAAGATGCCCTGGAGAAGGAAATGGCAACCCTCTCCAGTATTATTGCCTGGAAAATCCATGGACAGAGGAGTCTGGCGGGCTACAGTCCATGGGGTCGCAAAAGAGTGGATGGAACCCGACTTAGCAGCTGAACAACAACCACCACGTCCCTTCTGTGACCCCAGCCCCACTTGAACTGCCTACCTGAGAAAGCTCAAGGCTACCAAAAGAATTCAGCATTTGTCCCCGTCAACATCCAAAGACAAGATCTCTATCCCCAGCGTCTCTAAGAAGGGAGGAAGTTAACTTTCATAAATTCTGGTTAGCAGTCTCAGGTCAGTTCTCCAGTTCTCCTTCCCATTCTGTTTTATTTTTCACTCCCTGACTCTACTGAGCCACCACGCATACACACCCCTATTTTCTCTTGAAACTGCCCAGTCACTTCTGTACAAATCCAGGGTGAGTTCACTTCATGATCGACACTTTCCTTATTGTAGTGTATTACTGACTGAAGTCTGTCCTAACTACTTTACCTGGTGTCCTGCTTTGTATATCTTTGGCCTGGAGAAACTAACCAAGCAGTCATGAAAATGGGTTATGGTGCATAGCCTTTAAAGACATTTTTTATTTTGGCAGGCACATGGGGTGAAACTTCAAGTCCTCATGATACTCTCGACCTGATTACTGTCTTCTTAGGAATATTGCAGAAAAAGAAATTGGAAAGAACCTTAGGTTAGACCACAGAGTATACTCTTGGCCCAGAGATGGGCATGAATGAAAAATTCAGACTCAATTTAAGGAGTTAAAGGGGAAAAAGTGGTTTTTTAAAATGCTCCCATTTTGACTGCCTACTCTGCATGTTTTTCACATACTTCTTTTTAAAGTCTTTTCATGATGAATCTAACATCTATCATGTCAACATACTACCTTATAAATTGTTGGAAAGATGCCATTTGAGGGAAATATGCTAAGTGGGAACGTGGCTGCCTCCCCCAGGTCTAGTCTTAATAGCTGAGGCTAGGAGAGGAGGTCAGAAAAACGACCTTCCTTTGTGGTTCCAACACCTGTATAGCAGGAGACCTCACTCTGTATCAGCTTGGAGCTGCCTGTAGTGGGAGGTGGGGAACAGTTCCAAACTGTAGTAGGTGGAAAAGGGATTTAAATGTGGGTGGGATGGGGGGGGGAGTGTCTTAGGAAGGAGCCCAAACATCAAAAATGTGCCCACTGCATCATGAGACTTGACAGGTTACTGCCCTACGAACAACCCATATCTTTATTACTAATTTCACTCCGAAGGTTCTAGACAGGACTCTTGGCTATAGTGTTTAAAAACTAAAGAAGAAAATACCAGTTAACAATGATTTCCTAAACAATATTTTAACACTTTGGGAAGATAAAACCATTTGAATCAATTCATGCAGTTACTATTGGGTTGGCCAGAAAGTTTGGGTGTTTCCATAACATCAATGCATGCCTTAGGTGTGCCTGTCCATACTAGGTGATATGGGGAAAGCAAAGAACTGGTTACTGTCTTTAAGCAAGTTTCTGTACACAAAACATATATTCATCAAAAAGTGAAATCACAAATTATAATGATGTGTTAATAATTCTGAAATGAGTGGCACAGACCACACAATTGTCAGCTTAAGATTCAGTTGTTTTACCAGCTCTCTGAAATCTTTCCTGACATGTGCCCAAACATCCTGTGATGACCTCTGCCTTAACCCTTCTCATACTATTTTATTTGACTTTGTCCCCCAGATTTACCAGACAATAATATAGGCCCAGTTACATTTGAATTTAAGGTAAACAGTTACATTTTTTTAGTACAAGTATGCCTAGTGTAATATTTGAAACATTCTAAACAAATTTCCACGTTTATCTGAAATTCAGATGAACCTGGACAACTGTGTACATAGCACATCTTCATCTGTTCACCCATCAGTAGACACTTGGGTTGTTTACACATCCTAACTATTGTAAATAATGCCATAATGAACATAGGGGTGCATATGATTTTCAAATTAGTGTTTTCAGATTCTTTGGATAAATACCCAGAAGTGGAATTGCTGGGTCATGTGATATTTGTAGTTTTAATTTTTTGAGGAATCTGCATACTATTTTCCACAGTGGCTGCACCAATAGTGTAAAAGACTCCTTTTTCTCCCACATTCTCTCCAGTATTTGTTGTCTTTTTGATAATAGGCATTCTAACAGAAGTGAGGTGATTTATCATGGTGGTTTTGGTTTGCATTTCTATAAAAGTAAGTGCACTTAAACATCTTTCCATGTGCTTGTTTGACATTTTATATGTTCTTTGGGAAAATGTCTGTTCAGATCCTCTGCCTATTTTTGTATTGTTTGGATTTCTTTTGTTATGTTGAGTTGAATGAGTTTTAGATATATACATATACATATATATACACCTATAATAGGTATATAAATATATACCTATGTATATTTATATTCATATTCATATTTAACTATATACTATTTACCTATATGTGCTTGAACATCTTTTCATGTGCTTGTTTGACATTTTATATCTTCTTTGGGAAAATGTCTGTTCAGATCCTCTGCCATGAACATAGAATATCTTTACATTTATTTGGGTCTTCTTTAATTTCTTTCATCAGTGCCTTATAGTTTTCTGCATACAGGTCTTTTATGTCCCTGGTTAAATATATTCCTAGATATTTTACTGCTTTTGATGTAACTGTAAATGGGATTATTGTTTTTTTGTTTCTCTTTTTGATAGTTTGTTATCAGTGTATAGGAATGCTAAACACCTGTGTATTGATTTAAACTTGACTGAATTTGTTTATTTTAGCAGTTTTTTTTTGTGGAGTATTTAGAATTTTCTGTGTATAGAACAGTACATGTTTATGAAGGATATTAGCCTGTAATTTCCTTTTTTGGATTGCCTTTGTCTAGTGTTTGTATTGGGTTAATACTGATTCTGTAAAATGTGTTTCGAAGGGTTCCTTCCTCTTCAGTGTTTTAGAAGAGTTTTAAAAAGATAGGTATTAATTTTTTGAATGTTTTATGGAATTTATTAATACCAGTGAAATCATTTGTTCCTGGGCTTCTGTTTGTTGGGAGTTCTTTATTACAGTTTCAATCTTGTTAAAGTAATTGGTCTATTCAGATTTTCTATTGCTTCATGACTCAATCTCATAAGATAGTATATTTCTAGAAATGTATCCAGTTCTTGTGTATTGCCCAATTTGTTGGTGTATAATTGTTCATAATAGTGGGGTATAATCCTCCGTATTTCTGTGGTTATCAGTTGTAACGCTCACTCTTTAATTTCTCATTTTATTTATTTAAGGCCTCTTTCTTTCTTGGTTAGTCTAGGTAAAGGTTCTTTTCAAAGAACTAGCTCTTAGTTTCACTGATACTTTTCTTTTTAGTCTCTTTCATTTATTTCCAATTTGATGTTTATTATTTACTTTCTTCTAATTTGGGCTTTGTTTGCTCTCCTTTTTTTTTTTTTTTCCTAGTTCTTTTAGGGGTAAAGTTAGATTATTTAGGATTTTTCTTGTTTTTTTGAGGTATCCTGTGCTGCTACAAACTTTCCTCTTAGAACCACTTTTGCTGCATTTATAAATCTTGATATGTCCTATTTCTATGGCAATTTTCTCTAGATATTTCTAAAATTTCTCCTTTTATTCTTTGATGACTCATTCATTGTTATTCACTGTCCAGTAGCATGTTGTTTAGTCTCCACATTTTTTTTTTCTTTTGATTGATTTCTAGTTTTATACTGTTGTGGTCAGAGAGATTGCTTGATGTGATTTCAGTCTTCTTGAATTTACTGATACTTTTTTTGTGACCTAACAGGTGATCTTCTGGAGAATGTTCCATGTACACTTGAGAAGAATGTGTATTCTGCTGATTTGGGATGGGATGAAGTATGTATGTGTTAGGTCTATATGATTTACTATCATTTAAGTCTAATGTTTCTATATTGATTTTCTGTCTGGATGACCACTGATATTTATTCTCAGGTGTTCTCAACTTGGTAGGAGTAAAATCTGCTAGCTTGGAATAAATCTAATTATGTCATCCTAAAAGGTGCTAGGATATCACCCAAAATATCCTAGCCACACCCAGAAGGTTGGCGTGGCTTCAAAACTGGGCCAGATAGCAGATGGGATTTCAAGATATTATGAAATAAAAATAACCAGGATTTTGTGACCAACATTATATCTTCCACAATAAATGAATCCAAGAATTTGTTTACATTATATTATAAAAAGTATAAGCTTTACCTGCATTTAAAAAGTTTATAATTTAATTTGACTAAAAACAAACTTAGAAAAGAACAAAGCAAAGAAAACACAAGATATATAAGTGAATACTAATAAAAAATGGCATATGTCCAAGCTTGGCTTCATTGGGAATTAACAGATTCTTCAGACATGCTGGTGAAATGTGCATAGCCTGAAACTGCTCTGGTTAATATTTCTTTGTTGTTTGGTCCTGTATCAAAGTTATATCCCTTATTCTGTAACCTTGCATTTTCTTTATTAGTAGAGCTACTTAGTGATGACAGGCCATTCCTTTGGTGTCAGAATATTTTACCATCTCCTTCACCCTCCTAGTTTACTACTTTTAAACTGTGACTGCAAGTGAGGAGTGATCACCTAGGGAGATTAACAACAACAACAAAAATGATGCCTAGACCTTGCCTAGGAGATTGAAATTGAAATTCAAACTATAACCACTTCTCTGTTTTTTTTTTCTGTTGCTGTAACAAAGTATGACAATCTTAATGGTTTAAAATAATACACATTTGTTATCTTACAGTTGTGGAGACCATATTTCTGAAATGAATCTAATAGGGCTATGTTCCTTCTAGAAGCTCCAGGGGAAATCTGTTTTGTTGCCTTTGATAGTTTCAGTAGCGGCCTACATTCTTTGACTTGTGGCACCTCCTTCCATCTTCAAAGCATATTACACCAAAGTCTGCTTCTCTTGTCAAATCTCTTTTTATCAACGTTGACCCTCTTGAAAGTAAAAAGTGAAAGTTGCTCAATCATGTCCATCTCTGTGACCCCATGTAGCCCACCAGGCTCTTCTGTTCATGTGATTCTCCAGGCAAGAATACTGGAGTGGGTTGCCATTCCCTTCTCCAGGGGATCTTCCCAACCCAGGAACTGAACCCAGGTCTCCTGCATTGCAGGCAGATTCTTTACCTTCTGAGTCATGAGAGTAGCCCTTGACCCTCTTGCTTCCTTTCTTACAAGACTTTTGTGATTAGTTTGTGTTTATCTACATACCAGGATAAACTCCTTGTCTTAAAACCCTTTTTCTCCCCATGTCTGAATTGTAACATAAATACTGCATTTTAAATCAGTAAGGAAATTAAAGACAAAATTTTTCTACATATTTTGTATATCATTAAATATTATTATTATACTGCCATTCTTAACAGTATACTGACTAAAACATAATCATTTATTACATAATGTGCAAAAATTCCAAAATATTTTTTTAGTCATAAGAGGGTCAAGAAGTTGTATGTTTCTGTCAAAAGAGGTCGTAGAGAATCCTTCAGTCAAAGAAGAAGAAGGATGCTAATTTATAGCCCTGAATGCCACATTAAAGGGATTTGGTGCATGGCAGGGTATTCAATATTGTTTTATTCTAGGAAATCTATGGGGATGAAATGACCTTCTTTTACAACTGAGATTAAAGACAGGAAGTGAAATCATTTTCGTAAGGTCCTTTGAATTTTCATCTTTACTTTTAGAATTAAAAAAAAAAATCTTCTGGGGGCAAAATGGGTGAAGGAAGTTAAAAGATAGACATCCAGTTATAAAATAAATGTCACGAGGATATAACGTATAGCACTGTGATTGTGGTTAATGATTCTGTGTTGTATATCTAAAAGTTCCCGAGAGTTCTGTTCAGTTCAGTTCAGTCGCTCAGTCGGTGTCCGACTCTTTGCAACCCCGTGAATCGCAGCACGCCAGGCCTCCCTGTCTATCACCAACTCCCTGAGTTTACTCAAATTCATGTCCATCGAGTCGGTGATGCCATCCAGCCATCTCATCCTGAGAGTAGATAGTTTAAAAAAAAAATTCCTCAGCAACCCTCAGATACCTGCACTGTAGCTGCTCCCCCATGTGGTCACAGAGAGTAAATCATGAAAGTCCTCTTAGACTTTTTTAACACAAAAAATGGTAACCATCTATGGGGATGGATGTTAAGTTAATTAGACTTACTATGGTTGCTGCTAAGTCGCTTCAGTCGTGTCCGATCCTGTGTGACCCCATAGACGGCAGCCCACCAGGCTCTGCCATCCCTGGGATTCTCCAGGCAAGAACACTGGAGTGGGTTGCCATTTGCTTCTCCAATGCATGAAAGTGAAAAGTGAAAGTGAAGTCAGTCGCTCAGTCATGTCCGACTCTTCGAGACCCCATGGACTGCATGGACCAGGCTCCTCCATCCATGGGATTTTCCAGGCAAAAGTACTGGAGTGGGGTACCATTGCCTTCTTACTATGGTTAGTACATACCTATACACAATAAAGGTTTTCTTAGTTTAGTTTTCCAAAGTTGTTACGATTTTCAGAACCTTAAAACCCTTCCTAGAATGTAAAGGCAGTATCAAATGCTCAGGGACCAGAGGTCTTTCTTCCCATGTGGCCTTGTGCTTTGTGGAAAATAGACTAATGCTTGACAGCGGAATGCTTTTATTAATTATAACCCTAAATATTTTCCCAAGGAGACCTGGTTCAGCCAGTCTTCAGGCTTTAATTCTTGATACCTTCTTCATTTGACTTATTTAAAATCTCATTTATTATTCATCAAATGTAGATGCTTTTATTTTTTACATGAGTACCCAATGGTAATGAATCATTTGATCAAAATACCAGAATCATTTAATATAGCTATCAGTAAAAGATGGACCCTGACAACATCAGATAACCACTGAAATTCTAACATCTGGAGTCAATATAGACTTAACTGCAAATAACTTCTAACTTTAAGAAACTCTGGACATTTTCTTCTGTATGACATTTCTCTAAATAAATAAGACAAATGCTAGAGGCCTGACTGACACTTTTTTTAAAATAATAATTCTCTTTGATTGCACATAGCATGACACATAAGTAATTTGCCTCCTGCTGCAAGCATTTTGATAATAATTCAGGTTATAAATTAGGGTGAACAATGGGGAGAGGTGGAAAACTAGTCATTGATAACTGTATTATTTTAAATTAATTTATGCTGTTTATTTTCTTTTTTTCTTTATGTGTCATTTTCCTAACAGTGAATGAGAAATATTTCCTATTCAATAAGTGATTTCCATGAAGGAAAAACGTTGGCAAACTGGCTGCTTGCTACTTGCTTGATATTTAGAGATGAGGACATGTGAGCACCCTGAGTAATTTTCCCCACAGACAGGATGGCGTGAGGATACAGAGATGGATAACAATATCTGATTGATAGACCCTCACTTTCATCCTGAAATAAAGACTGGAGTATAACTGAGTCCTTGTCCTTTGGTATACAGCTCAGATAACAGCAGCCACTTCTGATTTTTCTCTTTTCACTTGGGGATGACTGGGAAGAAAGAAGAAGCTAGGTTTACTTGCGGGACCAAATTTCTTTTCAGACTTTTCTTTCGTTGTACCTGAGAAATAAAGGACAAATCAATTAATAACTGGATTATATGATGAACACAATTTTTTGGAGTTAAGTTTTACCACTAACTTTTGTAGAGATTTTAATCCTCCTAAAAGAGGATAGTTAAATAATATCCTAAACAAGGATAGTTAAATAAATAGTAGTTTAACTCTCTTGTGTGCCTCCAGGGTAAAAATGTGTTTAAAAATATACAGGAGTGGGGCTGCAGCAGGGCATGGAAGAAGAGCAAAGGCTTTAAAACTACTTAACTCTGCAGTTATCCATTCTTGGGATTTGTTGCCTGATCTGTAAAAGGTTAGTTAAAAGAAAACATAAAGAAGCTTCCTAGATTTTTGTAAGGTACAGATAAGTGAGTGAAGTCGCTCAGTCGTTTCTGACTCTTTGTGACCCCGTGGACTGTAGCCTACCAGGCTCTCCATCCATGGAATTCTCCAGGCAAGAATACTGGAGTGGGTTGCCATTCCTTCTCCAGGGGATCTTCCTGACTCAGGGATCAAACCCAGGTCTCCTGCATTGCAGGCAGATGCTTTACTCTCTGAGCCACCATTCTATATTAATATCATCAGAGTCCACTGACTTACAAAAAAAATAATAAAGTCAAGTGATGATCCCACAAATGAGAAAGCTTTCAATTAGATATTTTTTTAAAACATGCATATAAAAAGTTAAACTCATCTGATTTCAAAAGTCTAGGCTAAGAAATGTATAAATTTGTCAAAGAGGAGACAAGATGGTACAGAAGAAGGACTTGAGCTTACCTCTTCTCATGAAAACATCAAAACCACAACTAACTGCTGAAAAACCATTAACAAAAAAGACTGGAACCAACCAAAAATGACAAGGAGATGACAGGAGGGGTTCATTTGCAATACAACCTGGCTCACCAGAGGGACAAAGCTTAGTTCCGCTGGCCAGAGGACAGGTACCAGTTCCTTCCACCAAGAACCCTGCACAAACCTCTTAGGCCAGACTCAGCTCCCAGGAGCTGAGGAGTTACATTCCTGCAGCCTGCAGAATGGAGACAGTAAAAAGAAAGGCAAAATGAGATAGCAGAGGAATATGTTCCAGATGAAGGAACAAGATAAAACTTCAGAAGCTAAGTGAAATAGAGATAGGCAGTATACCCAAAAAAGAATTCAATGTGATGATAGTAAAAACCATTCCATATTTTAAAAAAGAATGGAAGCACAGATGAAAAAGATGCAAGAAATGTTTACTAAAGAGCTAGAAGATATAAAGAATAACAAAGTTGAACAGAGTAACTGTGATGCAAAATATATCAGAAGCAATCAATAGCAGAATAAAGGAGGCAGAAAAATGGCTAAGTGAGCTGTAAGACAGAACAGAGTGACATGATATATTTAAAGTGGTGAAAGGGAAAAACTGACAACCAAAAATACTTCTATATAGTAAGGCTCTTGCTCAGATTTAAAAGAGAAAAGGTTTATAGACAAGCAAAAGCTAAGAGAATTCAGCACCACCAAACCAAACTAGCTTTAAACAAATGCTCAAGGAACTTCTCTCAGTGGAGAAGAAGACCACAACTAGAAAGAAGAAAATTGCAAATGGAAAAGCTCACCAGTAAAGGCAAACATGCAGTAAAGGTAGGAAATCATCCACTGCAAATATGCTATCCAAAATTAGCAATGGTGGGGCTTCACACCACATGGTGGTTAAGATTCACACCTCCAAAGCAGGAGGGGCAGGTTCAGTCCCTGGTTAGGGAACTTGGTTTTCCACATGCTGCACATCCAAAATAAATAAAATTTTTTAAAAAAAACAACAGTAATGATGCTAATAGTCAGTTCAGTTCAGTCGCTCAGTCGTGTCCGACTCTTTGCGACCCCATTAATTGCAGCACGCCAGGCCTCCCTGTCCATCACCAACTCCCAGAGTTTACTCAAACTCATGCCCATCGAGTCGGATAGGCAAGTACAAATGCAGAATATTGGAAATGCATTTGAAATTTAAGAGAACAGTATCTTAATCTTGTTTATATATGGGCTGCTATATCAAAACTTTGTGGTAACTGTAAATCAAAAATATACAATAGATATATACACACAAAATAGAAAAAAAATACCAAAACAACACTAAACATAGCCATCAGATCACTAGAGAAGAGAACAAAATAAGAAGGGAAGAAAAAAAGATGAAAACAAATTCAAAACTGAACAGAATGGCAATAAGAACATACATTTTGATAATTATCTTACATAAAATGATTAAATGCTCCAACTGAAACACTTAGACTGGCTAGATGGATATGAAAACAAGACCCATAAATATGCATTCTACAAGAAATCGACACTAGATCTAGGGACATACACATACTGAAAGTAAGGGGATGGAAACATATTGCATGCAAGTAAAACTCTCTAGAAGCTAGATTAATAATACTTGTAGTAGGTAAAATAGACTTTAAAATAAAGAGTTTTGAAAGAGACAAAGAGGGACACTACATAATGATCAAGGGATCAATCCAGGAAGAACACATAACAATTGTAAATATATGTGCTTCCAATATAGGAGCACCTCGATATAGGAGGCAAGGCTAACAGCCATAAAAGGAGAAATCGGCAGTAACATATAATAGTGGAGGAGTTTTAACACCAACTTTCATCCATTGACAGATCATCCAGAAACAAAATCAATAAGGAAACACAGCCCTTAAATGACACATTAGACCAGATGGACTCAAATCAATATTTATAGAGCATACCATTCAAAAGCAGCAAAATACATATTCAGATGCACACAGAATTTTCTCCTGGATAGATCACTATAAGAAAAAATAATGACAATAAAACCCATGGAGGCTAGCTGATTTGCAACTGAACAAGCAGTGGATCACTGAAGAAATCAAAGAAGAATCTAAAATATACTTGGAGACATATGAAAACATGATGATCCAAAACCAATGGGATATAGCAGTTCTAAGAGGGACGTTTAGAGCAATAAAAGTGTACCTCAGGAAGCAAGAAAAATGTTAAACAACCTAACTTTACACCTAAAGCAACTAAAGAAGAACAGTCAAACCGAAAGTTATTAGGAGGAAAGAAAGCATAAAGATCAGAGCAGAAATAAATGAAATAGAGATGAAGACAATAGATCAATGAAACTAAAGGCTGGTTCTTTGAAAAGATAAATAAAATTGGTAAAGCTTTAGCCAGACTCATCAAGAAAATGAGAAAATAAAGGCCTGCTTCTCTTACGAGTCAAAAAAAAAAAAAAAAAAAAGAGAGAGAGAGGCTCAAATCAATAAACTTAGAAATGAAAAAGGAGACAAGAAACAACCCAGAAATATAAAGGATCATAAGAGACTACTGCCAGAAATTTATGCCAATGAAATGGACAAACTAGAAATGAACAAATTCTTAGAAAGGTAACAACCTCCCTAGACTGACCCAGGAAGAAATAGAAAATATGAACCTTCCAATCAGAAGTACTAAAATTGCAACTGTGATTTAAAAACTCCCAACAAAAGTCCAGGACCAGATGACTTCACAGGCAAATTCTATCAAACATTTAGAGAAGAGTTAACACCTATCCTTCTGAAACTATTCAAAAAAAAAAAAAATCACAGAGGAAAGAACACTCCAAAACTGAGTCTATGAGACCAACATCACCCTGATACCAAAACCAGACCAAGTTACCACAAGGAAGGAAAATTAAAGGCTAGTATCATTGATGAATATGGATTCAAAAATCCTCAACAAAATACTAGGAAACAAAATCCAACAATACATTAGTAAGACGATACACCACAGAGTGGATTTATTCCAGGGATGCAAGGATGTTTTGGTATCCACAAATCAATCAGTGTGATAGACCATGTCAACAAGTTGAAGAATAAAAACTATATGATCACCTTAGTAGATCCAGAAAAAGGTTTTGACAACATTCAACACCCATTTATGATTAAAAACTCTCTAGAAAGGGGGCACACAGGGAACCTACATTAATATAATAAAGACCATATATGACAAACCCACAGCTAACATCATACTCAATAGTGAAGAGGTGAAATCATTTCCTCTATGATCGGGAACACAAGAAATTTGTCAACTCTTGCCACTTTTGTTCAGTGTAGTTTTGTAAGTCCTAGCCAAAAATAAACTCAAAATGGATTAAAGACCTAAATGTAAATCCAGATACTATGAAACTCTTAGAGGCAAATATAGGCAAAATAGACTTTGACCTAAATCACAGCAATATATTTTTCAATCCATCTCCTAGAACAATGGAAATAAAAACAAAAGTAAACAAATGGAACTTAAAAGCTTTTGCACACCAAAGGAAACTATAAACAAAACAATAAAATGACCCACAGAATGGGAGAAAATATTTACAAACAATGTAATTGACAAAAGATTCATCTCCAAGATTTACAAACAGTTCCTGCTGTTTGTATGTATCAGTATAAAACAAGCAAACAAACAAAAAACAACCAATGAAAAAATAGGCAGAAGACCTAAATAGACGTTTCTCCAAAGAATACAGATAACCTAGAGGCACTTGAAAGTTTCTCAATATCACAAATTATTAGAGAAATGCAAGACAAAACTACAACAAGACACCAGTTCACATCAGTCAGAATGGCCTCATCAAAAAGTCTACAAGCAATAAGTACTGGAGAGAGTGTAGAGAGATGGGGACCTTCATACACTATTGATTTGAATGTAAATTGGTACAGCCACAATGGAGAACAGTGTAAAAATTCCTTTAAAAACTAAAAATAGAACTACCATATCATCCAGCAATCCCACTCCAGGGCATATATCCAGAGAAAAACATGGGCCAAAATTATACATGAACCCCAGTGTTCACTGCAGCACTGTTTGTAATAGCCATGACATGGAAGCAACCTAAATGTCCATTGGCAGAGGAATAGATAAAGAAGATATGGTACATATATACAATGGAACAACCATAAAAAGAACAGAATGATGCCACTTGCATCATGGATGGGTCTAGAGATTATCACAGTGAAGTAGTTTAGGCAGAGAAAGACAAATGTGATATTATTTATATATGAAGTCTAAAAAAATTATACAAAGGAACTTATTTACAAAACAGAAACAGACTCACTGACTTAGAAAAGAAACTTATGGTTACCAAATGGGAAAGGTTGAAGGGAGAGATTTAACAGGAGATTGGGACTAACATATGTTGTGTGCTTAATCATGGACGTGGACAGTAACCCACCAAGTTGTTCTGTCCATGGAATTTGCCAGACAAGAATATTGGAGTGGGTTGCCATTTCCTTCTCCGGGGGATCTTCCTGACACAGAAATCAAACCTGTGTCTCTTGCGTCTCCTGCATTGGCAAGTGGATCCTTCACCACTAGTGCCACCTAGGAAGCCCTGGGGTTAACATATACATCCTACTATATAGAAAATAATCAACAAGGACCTACTGTATAGCACAGAGGAGACTAGTTAATATGCTTGAATAATCTATATGGGAAAAGAATCTGAAAACGACTAGAAGTGTGTATATGTGTAACCTAATCACTTTGTTGTACATCTGAACCTAATATAACATTGTATTGATAAATCAACTATATGCCAATATAAACTATAAATGAAAATAGAATTTCCCAGTGATCCAGTTGTTAGGTCTCTGTGCTTCCATTGCAGAGGGCATGGGTTTGATCCCTGATTGGATAACTAGGAAATCCTACATGCCATGTGTTGTGGTAAAAAAATTAAAATTAAAATTACTATTTGTTAGATCTTCCTCTTAATATTTGATCAATTTTAATAACTAGATACATGACCATAGTTTAAATTAGGCTCATACAAACTTCCTAGAACTAATAGAGCAGTTTTAAGGTTTTAGTTTTTTAGGCTGTTTAGTTTAAGAGATTGAGCGTGATATTTGGAGTAAAAAGTTGACTTCAGGTTATGACTTAATTTTATATGACCTTTGATAAGTCATTTTAATCACCCTTTTGGTTCCAATTTTTTCCCCAGTTCTAAAATGAGTGTATAATATTTTCTTTGTGATCTTTGTGAAAATCAAAGAATTATTTATAAAAATACCATGTTAGCTATAAAGTTTTCCATTAGTTTTCCTATTAATACATGGAAAACATTCTCCTTGACTTGGCTGGTGGGCCAGAAACTTACTGTTATCTTGGCTTCATCCTGCAGGTACAATAATGTTAGGAAGTAAGGATGGCTACACAGCCATCAGATATGTCATGCCATACTGCCTGGCTTTTAAAATTAGTCAGTGAACCTAAGTCTAAAATTAACTCTAGGATGTTAATTTGCTCAGGCTCAGAGATCCTGCTTGATTTTTCTGTCCGTCCTGGAAAATTAGGTTTTCCTTCTCACTGAGGTAAAACACATGCATTCTGGAATATTTGTAGACAGAGTCAGACCTGAGATAATTTTAGTCCCAGAAATTAGAAACAATCCAAACCAAAATGGTATACACTGTGGAATTCTAAGTACTAACTCACTTTTTCATGTTGAACATGGCCTCCCTTCTTCTTTCCTTGAATGCCATCTGAAGATTCCTTTTGTGCTTCTGAACCAATTAGTGGAAGGAATCTTAGACTAGTGGGGCTTGGTACCTAGGAGCCATAAATAAAGAATAATACATACTTAAGGTGATAAATTCTGTAATATGAATTCAGGGGTGGGGGATAGGGAGTGAGAAGGTCCAACTGCTTTAAAACATACCCACCATCCCAGGAGTCCACTATTAATTCTGATGCTTTTCCCTTAGCCGCATCTATAGTTTAACTGTTTAGTACCTGTAGGAGGTTATCAACATGGTCTTGGGAAAGAGAAGTAACATTTTATAAAACAATATTATATGTTAAAATTAGGGCGCAATGTTTTGTCTTTGGTTTATTATTCTTGGTTAATTAAACAACAGGTTATCTGGGTTGGAGACTTGAAGGAAAAGTAGGGATTTGGAGGGAAACAAGGGGTGGATGAGTTATGGGCAGAGGAGCAGCACAGGCAGAGTCACAATAGAGGGAAGAACAGTGATGCTTAAGGAATGGTGAGTTAGCACAGCTGGGGTGTAGGGTACATGGGAGAATATGGTGGAAAATGGGGTTATACAGTTCAGGTGGAGGTCAGATCATGAGAATGCCAGGCCAAACGCATTTAGTTTTATCCTATAGATGATGAAGAGCCAGGGTAAAGTTTGAAATACTTTTCTGTAGTATTGTTCCATGTGGAATGACAGAGACAATGATCAAGGCCACTGCCACACAAAACCAAAGATTTCTCTGAGTTTGGACGCAGCATGTTTATGGAATCATCTTTCTGCTTGGTTATGTGATTGCTTGCTCAGGGTCAGGAATGAGATGTCAGATTCCCTAATTGTTCTGGAATCACTCTAGTCCTAGATACCTCCAACTCACCCTGTATATGGGCAGAGAACCAAAAACAATCCCTGCCTCTCTGTTTTCAGTCATGAAACCTTCCAAGGCATGTCTTCGAATCTGCAAAGAGAGGAGTGAATGTTTAATGAAAAGGGCAGATTATATCAGTGGCAAAATTCCTGGAATCAAATTCTGACTCTGCTACTTATTAGTTGCATGATCTTAAGCAAATTCTTTCCCTGTTGACAATTTATGAAGACAAAATGTATATAGTAAGGTGCTACTCAAATGTAAGATTTAAATCTATTGTATTATTATTACTAATAACAATATATCAAAAAGAAATGAAAAGAAGTGAACAAATATTACACAATTGTGAATGAAAAGAAATGGGAAAAATAAAATTGCTGGTAGCAATCAGATTCCTAAGTAAAAGGTATTTTTATCTCAAGCATTAAACCTTTGTTATTTTACCAACCGAGAAGATAAAGATATGCTAAGAGGCCAAGCCTTATAATATTGAGTGCATTCGGTTTTTTCAAGAGCTTTAAAACCTTTCCAAAGATTTTCCCAAATATATTTAACATTTCAGTTTAATTACTTTAACAGTTACCACTTCAAATTGGAAAAGAATATTAAAAGTGAATACCAATCTTTATTTTTAGGTTGTGCTATTCAACAAAGTCAAGCATTTGTTACGTGCTATACATGTATCTTTGCCCATAAAGAGCTTATGATTTATTGGTGGAGGGGAGAAGTAAGAGTCAGTATACCAGTGGTTCTACTTCCCTGTAGAACACGGTAAGTGAACGTGTTACCAGACAAAAAGCAGGGAGAGACTGGGGCCTTTGGAAAGTGGAATTAACATTTATTGAATGCCTACAATGTTCCTCGTATACATTTTCTCATTTAATCCTCAAAAAAAACCCTTTGAGAGATTATATTATTAGTTATTAGATAAAATAACACCTAAGATTAAATTGAAGTCTGTTACATTCCACAGCCAGTCTCTTTCTTGCCTGTCACCCTGTCTTCTGGGAGAAGCTATCCGAGTTCCCTCTGGGCAGGAAGCGAGGGTTTATAAAATGGTTTCATCTGGAAAGTGTTAAAAAATGTTAAAAATACTTATTGAACATGAAGTTGATGCTGTGAAAAATGACATATTCTGTTTAACACATTGGAACAATACCCTCAGCTTGAGGGTGTCAGTGCGCCGTGCCAGTCCTTTTCATCATCTCTCAGACATAATGACAAGCTGAATGTCGTGTTCTTAATTCTCTTGCTTTTGTTTATATAGTTTTACCTTTTATACTTTTTACCAAAACAACATTTTATTTACTTTCGCCTTTTCTCTATTTTTATCAGAACAAAATGGCTATGTATATATTCTTATGCACAACTTGTCTTATTCAGTAGTATGTTTCAAACATCCATTTGTGTAGGGACGTGTTATTCGAGTTCATTTATTTTTACTGCTCCATAGTATTTTAATTTATAAATATGCCATAATTTAGTTACCAGTTGTGCTCTTGAGCATTTAGGCTGGTTTCAGATTTTTGCTGTTACAAATAGTACTACTATGAGCTGTCTTGTTCCTGCCTCCTAAACACATGTTTAGGAATTTCTGTTGATACTTAGTAGAGTACGCCTATTTTCAGTTTACTAGATAATGCCTGTCACATAATTTTCCAAAGTGATTCTAGCAATTTACACTACTTCCACCAGCAGATTAGTGTTCTGATTTTTCTAAATGCACACCGATTGTCAGACTTTTTGATACTTGCCAATCTGGTGGGTATAAAATGCTACCTATATTATTGGTGTGTGTTTCCATGATTACTAATGAGGCCGAGCATCTCTTCAGTTACTTTTTTTTTCTCTTTTGTGAAGTATCCAAGTATTTGACCATTTTTTAAACTGGACCATCTTTTCTGATTATTGATTTTTTCCTATACTGGATACTAATACTTGGTCAGTTGGCAAAGTAGGATGGCCTTTGACAGAGAGAGATGATGGATATGGCAGGGGTAGCCCAGGTGGACTGTAGGGATAGGAGACTGAGAGAAATGTTCAGGAAAAAATAATTAGTCTGATTTATAGAGGCAATGGCACCCCAGTCCAGTGCTCTTGCCTGGAAAATCTCATGGACAGAGGATCCTGGTAGGCTGCAGTCCATGGGGTCGCTAGGAGTTGGACACAACTGAGTGTCTTCACTTTCACTTTTCACTTTCATGTATTGGAGAGGGAAATGGCAACCCACTCCAGTGTTCTTGCCTGGAGAATCCCAGGGATGGGTGAGCCTCATGGGCTGCCATCTCTGGGGTCACACAGAGTCGGACATCACTGAAGCGACTTAGCAGCAGCAGCATAGAGGGTTGAACAACTATAGGTTAGAAATGGGAGATAAGTTTTAATCAGAGGTAAATATGGTTTGTATTGTGGAAGATCTTGAAGAAATCCATTTTTAATTAAGTAATGCCAGTGGCTGGTGGTGATGATGTTCAGCCGCTAAGTTGTGTCCTACCCTGTGACCACATGGACTGCAGCACACCAGGCTACCCTGTCCTTCACCACCTCCCAGAGTTTGCTCAAATTCATGTCCATCAACTTGGTGATGCAATCTAATCAGCTCATCTTCTGACACCCTCTTCTCCTTTTGCCTTCAATCTTTCCCAGCATCATGTCTTTTCCAATGAGTTGACTCTGTGCATCAGGTGGCTTTAGTATCAGTCCTTCCAGTGAATATTCAGGGTTGATTTCCTTTAGGATTAACTGGTTTGATCTCCTTGCAGTCCAAGGGACTCTCAAGAGTCTTCTCCAGCACCACAACTTGAAAGCATTTAGACCTTAGCCTAAAGGCTCATGCTGTATTCATTTTTTAGAAGTTTTAGAAATTGAAATAGAATAAATTGCAATGTACATTTCTCTCCTATTCTGTGTGAAGAAGTTTTTCTATCTGTGATAGGCAGAATAATGGCAACCAAGGATATTCACACAGTATTCCTCCCACCCCAAATCTGTGAATATATTGCTTCATTTGGCAAAAGGGACTTTGCAGATGTGGCTAACATTAAGAAACTTGAGATAAAAAAAAAAAAAAAAAACTTGAGATGGATCATCCAAGTGGGCCCAATCTAGTCACAGGAATTTTTAAAAGCAGAGAACATTTCCAACTGGTCAGAGAGACAAGATCACAGAAGAATGGGATTTCATGGCTTTGAAGGTGAAGGAAGGGAACCACAAACTAGGAAATATGAGATTCTGCCTCGAGGCTTCAGAAGGAGGCACAGCCCTGGCGACACCAGTGAGATGCCAGTCAGACTTCTACAGAACTGCGAAATAACTAACTTGTGTGGTTTAAACCACCAAGTTTCTATTGGCAAGTAACAAGAGCAATAGGAAACTAATACAGTGGACATGTTAAATTCAGAAAAACAAAAGCAAAGTGACTTTGTTTTGTTTTTTAAAGCTACCTTAGGAGAAGAAAGAGACTTGAAAAACTTGAAATTGTGTTCCACTTCAAAGGCCTTTGGAGGGGTACGTTTGAAGAGCAAAGACATCGAGCTCATTTTTTGCCACCTGCATAAAAAGATACACACACATATTAAAAAAAAATGGTTAAGAACATACCTACACCTACTCAACAAGTATCCATCATGTCCTTTGTCTGGGCCTCCAAATTCTCTGGCTCCCATGGCACCAGTCCTAATGATGTGACCTTTGCACTTAACTCTTCTTTCACTTCCCAGATTTCCCTCCAAAGAAATCATCAAGATTTCTACTAAACCTCAGCATTCCATGAAGTTAACTTCATTAATAGCCACTGGAGGAAAAAAAAAACCAGAAATCTCTGGTATAAAACTAATGCTTGACTTTTTGTGACTCAGGTCAAACTTGCACTATAATTAAAACTTACTTATGTATATATTTTAAAAGTCATAACAAAGTATTAAAAATGTAAACATATGTCTTCTAACAAAATGTAAACATATATCCTACTTTAACCTATCCCAAATATATCATACTGTTTCATATTTCGTATCTATCATTTATATCTGTTGCCTCTGCTTGTAAACTTCTCCATTAATCATTATTTGTTCGACAGTATCTTCTGAGTGCCTACTATGTGCTAAGCACTGAACTAAGAATTGGATATATAAAGATACATAAAATATGCTCCTAGTCTTCAAGGAACTCAAGAGAATAGTGAAGAAGATGCATATCAACAAATCAGAATATCGTGTTTTAAGTACTGAGATACATGGATTCTCAAGACTCAGCAGTTACCCAAGGAGACTCATCAACTTTGCCTGGTGAACTTTGCCATATCCTGATGAATCTTGACTCTATTATCACACTTCTTACATTTTAGCCAGATGTCTTCCCCAGTGCTCCTTACTGCCCAGCAAAGACAAACCTTGACCACTTCAGTGTGGTTTGGCAATCATTTGGAACCCTCATTAATTGTTCCGCAAGTGTTTCTGTTTTGAACCAAGTTCTGTGTGACTTATGACTCTTAGCTTTACAATTGTTCTATCAACTTTTGGACTAGATGATGGCATTGTGTCTCCCTAGCCTTGACTTATTCAGGATATCCCTAAAAGACTCCATCTTAGACAGTCTTCTCTGATTCTTTCCACTTTGCACTCATCTTGTCAGTTATTCCAGTTCTGAGTGAGTGAGTGAGTGAGTGAAAGTCTCTCAGTCGTGTCTGACTCTGCAACCCCATGGATAGTCTAGGAATTCTCCGGGCCAGAATACTGGAGTAGGTAGCCCTTCCCTTCTCCAAGGGATCTTTCCAACCAGGGGATTGAACCCAAGTCTCCTGCATTACAGGCAGATTCTTTACCAGCTGAGCCACCAGGGAAGGCCAAGAATACTGGAGTGATCTGCTGGATATTACCAGTCTATGTAGTCTAGTCCTATGAAGACTAGACATTTAGACATCTACCATTTAGGGCTAGGCTTTGCTGATGTTGAAAGCTTAGATGAGCACTAGTCGCTTCCATTATGACAAATATTCAGCCACAGTCAAAACGAGGACTGAGCTTTGCAAAAGCATAAAACAGTTTTCACCAGTATTTTATTCTTTACTGGGGGACTGTGCTCCCTCCCCTATGCCTTTAAGCATGCTCAAAGTCTCCCTCACAAACAAGCAAACTCATGAAACGAACTCTTCTTCAGTCCTACAGCTATTTGACTTCCTAGCAAAGTAATCTATGCTGTCATCACTTCACATCTCCCATTTATGTCTCAACCATGACGATGCAATTTTTACCCATCACTTTTTGAAACTTCCCTCTCTAGAATCATTAGTGACCTTTCAGCTGACAGACATGCTGGATCCACTGTTTACTTTTCTATTGTGCTATGTGATTTCAGTGCCACATTCTACAAATATGTCCTCTCACTTTTCTTCCTCTCATCCCTTGATTTCCATCTCACCATTTATTTCTGGATTTCCTTTAAACCTATTGGCTATTCCTTCTTAATGTTTTTCACTGGTTTCTTTCCTTTGGTCTGCTCTTTACAGGACATTTCTTGATTAATTCCTGTTTTCTGTTTCTGCTCGCTCTGTACACAGGACCTGAGTGACCTATCCAGATTGAAAATACTGCTATGCTGATGACACCGAAACCTTTGCCTATAGGTCTGATCTCTTTGGGGAGCTCCAGACAGATGTCTCTGCTCATTAAATATCTCCACTTGGAAGTCCCACAAACATCTCGGACTTAAATCTGTCCAAAACCAAATTCGCCATCTTTTTCTTCAGACCTCCTCTTCCCCTTATGTATTGTATCATAGTGATTTCATAAAAATCCTTATGTTGGGCCTTAAAAGTCTTATTGTGCTTTGGCCCCTATAGACTTTTCTTGCTTTATATTATGCAAGATATATCCTCACTACTTGCTCCCTGGACTCTAAACCTTGAAAGACTATAACATGGTCTTTCACTATTTAGTGTGTATGCTTAGGCAGTTGCCTCCTTCATCTTTGTTTCATTAAATCCTGTCTTCGCTTCTGTGATTATTTTAAGAACTCATGTTCCTAGAGGTACTATTATACCAAATTATAGCTTTTGTTTACTTATTTCTCCCTTTCCCTCATTTGCAAAATTACTGAAAAGTTCTGGGCTTTTCATCTTTGAATTCTCCATGTTCAGCACAGTGTGACAGTATCATATAGTTTAATTTCATCTGCTCACCTAAAGAATACCATATGCTCTTACCTTTGCCGGTCAAATACCAGAGGATATTCATATGTTAGCTTTTTCTCTGTGAATTTGCTTTCTTCTTTTATTTCTATGGGATATTCAGTAACATCACAAGGCAAAATAAAATCTCTTGTCTGTGATAATTCAAAGGTCCTTCGCTGTCCAAAATATCCACAGTAATGACCATTGAGGGCATGCCAGAGCCTGGGGAAAGGCAAAGTAGAGAGAAGAAAGTAACTGGAATTCAGTGGAAGTTACTCTGTTTAGGTCGTTTATGTAGCTTTTTCTTAGCCCAGCAGGGATTTTAAAGTCAAGTCCAGAACTCTACCTATTAAATATGTGTAGCTAGTCATAACATAAACATTTTTACCAGTTGGAATTCTAATCTACAATAATTTTGGAAATGTCATTTTAAATCTATACTTATGATAACCACTTATTAAACCCAGAAGACTAGAAATGGATTTTTCCCAAAATAGTTGTGCTCATTCAACTTATATTGACTCATCAGTTGAATTAGACTGTAGAATGGGCCATATCTCAGCTGTTTAATTTCTGTATCGGCATCAACAGAACTTATGGGAGGAGACATCTATTAATGGTTTCACTCTTACCAAAATCATTTCGACTGCCATCCTCATTTTCTACTGATATGGAAATGCCATACTATTTTTTACAACTGAGTTCTGCAATAAGGTGGCAAAAGAAGTGATTCTTTATACATATGCATTATTTCACTCCAAGAGGACCTTCTAAATAACCCATGTGGTTTAAAGTCATACAGAATGTCATTAGCAAGAGTATGTGCCCTATGTCTTACGGAAATAAGACACAAATAATGTCTGACAGATCTTCCATTTATGTCTTGATTTCAAGCTCAAAGTAGCAAGTGATGGAAACAATCATAATGTGCCTACCTCAATGGCCCAGGAGAATAATCTAAATGGCTTAAGAGTAGATCCTACAAAGTCTAAGTGGCATCCCAGTTGGAAGAGGTAGGCACTGAGGAGGAGGTAAAACAGAGGAATCCAGTCAGGGGTCCTCACACCTGACACTGGCCTGAGAATGCACCCTTCCTTTCATACTTTAATTCCCCAGAGCTACGTAGACGTTTCCATGGACTTCCCAGAGACTTGACCAAGGTGAAATCAACAAGCCCTCTCAACACAGAGGTTAGAGGGGTGAGGGACTAGCTTCCGGACAACTCTAAGTTCATTCTGCTGGAGGCAAGGACTGAAGTAACTTTTGGTCTTCTTGTTTTCTGGTGTTTCCTACTTCACGTGCAGTGTTCCCAAATGACTAATCCTGTCTCTCAGCCTGATTTTCTAGGAGTCAGATGTAGATTTGGATCTTTACCCCTCTCTACCCTCTATCCCAAAGCTAAGCCTTTATTATGCTTTTTCCTGTGATAAAATCAGTCTTTTTGACAAACAAGATTTAGAGTATTAAATGCTTCCCTGGTGGCTCAGCTGGTAAAGAATTGCCTGCAGTGCAGGAGACCTGGGTTCAATCCCTGGTTTGGGAAGATCCCCTGGAGAAGGGCATGGCAACCTCCTCCAGTATTCTTGCCTGGGAAATCCCATGGACAGAGGAGCCTGAGCAGCTACATTCACGTGCAGTGTTCCCAAATGACTAATCCTGTCTCTCAGCCTGATTTTCTAGGAGTCAGATGTAGATTTGGATCTTTACCCCTCTCTACCCTCTAATCCCATGGACAGAGGAGCCTGAGCAGCTACATACAGTCCATGGGGTCACCAGGAGTCAGACACAACTGAGCGACTTTCACTTACACTTAGGAAGTGGCAGTGAGTTTTAGCAGAAAGACTTATTTGTGAAAAGAACTGTATTCTGAGATAGCTGTTAATAAAGCTAGGTTTTTTGAACTGAGTATTTAGGGATAGCTTCACTTGAAGGAATTGTAAAAGTAATTTCTCCATGCCATAGATAACTGGTTTGAGCAGGAAAAGCTTATAAATGATAGAGGTGTGCACACATGTTAACGTGTAGGGAGTGTGTGTGTGTGTGTGTGTGTGTACATTATAATGCACAATTAACACTTCTGATGACAACTGAAAATAAGCTGGAGCAGAGACTCAAGGGACAGAGTTTTGGAAAACATCTATAATAATTAAATGTAATTTTCATGTCAGTTCATTTTTCCTATGAATAAAACAACAGATCTCTTTGACAGAGAAAGCAGCTCTGTTTGCCCTCAAAGAAGATCTTATCCTAAAGATTCATCTTGAACTTGGTATTTCTGAAAGGTTTTCATCTTTCCATATTCCAAATGTTTTCCTTTTTTAGTGCTGCTTTTCTCAGTGAATGACACTAGTATTCATCTAGTTTTATAATGCTTGGACTCATTCTTGACATCTATCTCTTACCTTCTCTTTCAGTTAAAGTTTATGTCTTCTGGATTTTGCCTCCTAGATAATTCTCAAATCCAAAATATTTATTCCTAGCACTGTTACCACTCCCTGAGTTCACACCACTGTGTTCACCAGTGACATCTAACTGGTCTCTGTGCTCCCAGTGTTGCTGCTCCAAAATCCATACCTCACACATTATTATTTTTAAAATATATCTCAAATTATGTGAGTGTTAGTCGCTCAACTCCTCTGCCCATGGAATTCTCCAGGCAAGAATACTGGAATGTATAGCCATTCCCTTCTCCAGGGGATCTTTCCGATCCAGGGATCGAACCCAGGGCTCTTGCATTGCAGGCGGATTCTTTACCATCTGAGCTATATATAAACTCTACTAATTATGTTACTCACCCACTAAATATTTTTTGGTGGCTGTTTATTCCAAGATGAAGATCCATATCCTGAACAGTGTCTGCTACATGCTATATGGTCTTGTCCCTGTCTGAATCACCAGGCTCAAGCTCATATAGCTAGCTAGGGTCTTTTGAATTTCAGACCATTGTCATTCACACAACATAAAATATTTCTTCCTTTTCATCTTCATTATGTTTAAACTCTTGAAAACACTTTGAAACCTCCTTATCTCCCTTGATCTTACCTACTTTTATGTCCCTAAGAGGCCAATTCATTATCATAATTTTTAATGTAATTTTTTAAACTTTTATTTTATATTGAAGTATAGTTGATGAACAAAGTTGTGTTGGTTTCAGGTGTAAAACAGAGTGATTCAGTTATACATGTACATGTATATATTCTTTTCCAAATTCTTTCCCCAGGTTATTACGGAGTATTGGGCCTAATTCCTTGTGCTATATACTAGGTCTTTGTCGGTTATCTATTTTGAATAGAGTAGTAGTATTCATGTCAGTGGCAGATTCCCAATTTATCCCTTCTCCCTGGTAACCAAAAACTCATTCTCTAAGTCTATGAGTCTGTTTCTGTTTTGTGAATAAGCTCATTTGTATCATTTTTTTTTTTTTTTTGTTAAGATTCTGCATGTAAGTGATGTCATATGGTATTTGTCTTTCTCGTGCGACTTTACTTAGTATGGTAATCTTTAGGTCCATCAATACTGCTGCAAAACACATTATTTCATTCTCTTTAATGGCTGAATAGTATTCTATTGTATATATGTACTACATCTTCTTTATTTGTCAGTGGACATTTAGGTTGCTTCCATGTCCTGGCTATTGTGAATAGTGCTGCAGTGAACATTGGCTTTTTGAAATATGGTTTGAATTACATGTAGCAATTTGTCTCAAGAATGGTCATGAAATTTCCTTTCTCTTTATGTGTGTGTGTGTATATATATGTGTGTATGTATTTTTAGCATTTTATGTATTTGTACTTAGCATCACTAGGCAATTAAAAACAAGTAGGCTTGGTAGAACATGGCCACTTATAGTTATTAATTCTGAAGTAGTAGATCTCTAAAGTCCTCATCAGAAGGAAAAAAAAATTGTATTACTATGTATGGTGACAAGTGTTGACTTATTAAGGTGATCCTTTTACAATATATACATATTTTGAATCATTATGTTGTATATCTGAAACTAATATAATATTATTTAAAACCTGAGTTTTTAAAAAAGCTGATCCTAAGAGGAGGCTTTCTAGAGAATATAATTGATTACAGCCCTAGTAAATCATCTGTTTGCTCCAGTTGTAGCACTGTGCTCACCCCTTGAAGTAAGAGGAGCAACCAAGGAAGAAAAGAACCACAAAAACAAGTAGACTTTTAATGTCAATTACATTTTCATTGAAACAATTACTTCACTTTCACTTTTCTCAGTATTAGTTGTTCTTTCCTATATTTTGTAATGACTTCTCATCCTGTGTATCCTGTAGTCTTCCCTGGGCTTGGGTCTATCTCTCTGAGCTACCCATATTGCTTAATGATTTTAAAATAAGTCTACAAGAACACTTGTGTTGAAAGGACACCTTTTAGTGTTGATGAGCATGGCATCTCATTTTCTTGAGTGGAAAATTACGAATCAGTGACCACCTTCTCAAAGCCCTTTAGTGCCACCTTTTATTTGTTTTTGACTTCCCTGGTGGCTCAGGCGGTAAAGCGCCTGCCTACAATGCGGGAGACCCGGGTTCAATCCCTGGGTCCGGAAGATCTCCTTGAGAAAGAAATGGCAACCTACTCCAGTATTCTTGCATGGGAAATCCCATGGATGGAGAAGCCTGGTAGGCTCTAGTCCATGGGGTTGCAAAGAGTCAGACACGACTGAGCGACTTCACTCATCACTCACTTTATTTGTTTTAACCAGCTAATCAAGATTCCACTTATGGTATATGCTCAAAGTTTAGCTTAAAATCCTTTACCTCATACAACCTGAATTCATGATATGAAGGTCCATACCTTACTGAGCCATCGATGGAGGCAGTAAGTACCACTTGTTTCTCTTCTACATAGATTATTTGAACAATTTCTAATGAATGAGCACGCCAGGCAAGAAGCTGCTTGAATTTCTAGACAGCAACAATAAAGCATATCTCTTTTAATAAGTACATACTGATCCAAATACAATCTTGAACAAAAACATTAATCATTAAAGAGCTAAGCTAATGAATGAATGGTGTAGACATCTGTGCAAGACAGTGAAATTCCCACCCTAGTTATCTCTTCTATTGCTTGTTGAGGTACCAAAAATTCTATTTTTAGATATTTGTTAATCTATACATATCCCTGGGACAGGAAATATCTTACACCTTTAGCAGCTTATCATTTAACTGAGGATTAGCAATTCATTTAGTTGAAAACTAGTAAAAGACTAGATGAAAGAAAATCCTTAGGAGAAGGGTTGTGGGGGGACTATACAATATAATATAGTAATATTATATATAATATAATCAGGAGAAGGAGAAAGCAGAGTTAAAAGATGACCAAAGGGGAGATTGGCAAGAAGACTTTTCCTATTTCCAAGTTTTATCCAGAGATCCCTTGCTAATTATTTTTTTGTTTGTTTTGAGGTGGGGGGTGTTGGTGGTGATTGTGGGATACATATGTTACTTACATACCACAAAGAATTAACAAAAGGATTGGATCCAGCTCATTCTCTTGCAAAGACATCTTGACACTTCAGGTTGTGACTTATCCTCAAGTTTAGAGCCTCTGAAGGGGCTCCAGAAGAAATTTTTAAACCATGTGAATTAGAGTTGTCAACTGGGAGACTTATTCTGTAGAAATATCCCCATAAAACTTGTTCCCTCTCTGTCACTGATGAATCCAGACCTTTCTTCTTGCTAGTCATCTATGTGGGAGCTAGAATTCTGGCAGCTCAGAGTTCTGTGAGACTCAAATTCATTTAGACTTTAGCATAGTAAGTTAGGCACAATTCTTCCAATATCTCTTGACCTGATTCAGTTCCCTATTCTTAGAGAACCAGGGTAAAATCTACATCCTTCTACTTATTTTCTCAAAGCTTTTCAAGAACATTGGTTGCCCAAAGGTTCTTTCTCTGCCTTGGGATGGAATTCTCTTAAGGCAAGGATTTCATTATTATGGACCTAGTCTATAGTAGGAAATACGTTTTACTTCATGACCCAGTAAACACATGCAGTACCTGCACATGCATCTGAAACAAGTTTCAGTATCCTTCACAAAGGATACTTAATCTGCATTGTGTATAATGAACAATTGATACTGTCTGTTGTTCTATTCTGTTGTATTGGGTTGGCCAAAAGGTTTGTTTGGCTTTTTCTGCAAGATGCTATAGAAAAACCCAAACACACTTTTTGGCCAACCCAATATTTCATTACACTCCATTCTCTTCTATTTTCACAAAAGAACTGCTTGCCACTTATTAAATTGATTTTATGACTCCCTCTAGTGTATTACAACCAGTAATTAGAAAAAAACACAGAATAAAACTTTTTTCTGTAAGCATGTGAGTATATGATACATTATTTGTCTTTATGTAGATAGATTTTGACTACTGTTTCTCTTAGACCTCTGATATTCCATGGATCATCTTTAAACAGTATTGTCTCAAGAGAACCAGATTAACCTCTGATTTATAGACTGACTTATTAAGTTTTCACTGTAGTTGTAATCCATAACTGAATCTTGTTTAATGCATGGTACATATTAGTGTATGTAATAATGAGGCATAGAGTCCATTGTGCAATTATAAATAGGCAGCCAGATACAAACTGGAAAATCACATTGTCCGAATAAAGAGAAGGTTGAAATGAGGCTGGATAGGGAAGAATTTAACTATGTTATTAAAATAGATCCTCTTCAATTGGTGAAAATGCTTTTAAAAATCAATCCCACTATTATTCTAATTCAATATCAACACATAATTTTATTTTAAATATTTTCTCTGAATTTTGAAAGGTCTCAGTTGCCAGTCTATAGGAAGTCCATTTGCAAAAATATAGATTTTGAATTGTATTTTTTATCTGCTAAAATTAATATGAGAATATTGATAATTATCACAAGTAAGAGAAAACAATTAGATAGCCTTCTTCTCATACATGATTCAAGCATATGATTGTTTTTGTTCCTCTCACAGCATGCCATATAGTTGATACAGTAAGTTGAAACTTAGTGCTTTCCATTTGCTGGTGGTATCTATTACATGTGGAAAGAGCATTGGATTAGAGGACAGGAACCCTGGTTCTGGCTCTGTCTTCATCATTAACTATGATGTGATCCCAGGCAAGCTTTCTGATTTCCCTTCTGCAAACTGAAGAATGTCATACTGAAGCTAAGTATCTGAATTTTATAAAAGCTATAATGGGTTCTTGAAAACAAAAACTCTGTAGACCAAATGAGATAATGTTTGAAACAATAAGTATTCTAAAACACTCTGCAAGGAAACCCATCCTAATCTATGTATCCATGCATTAATATTAATACCTGTAATCCAAAAATAAAACATTGCTGTTTAAGCTACTATTTGGCTTTTGGATTTGAAGTATTAACTTACAGGGAAATAAGCCTATGATAAAATAGTGCTTCCTTGCTATAGTCTTTAATTAGTTTTGAACTTTTGTAATATATGTAGATATACTGGCATATCCACACACATACACAAGAAGTGCACTTTTTTTTTTTTAGCGATGCTGCGAGGCATCTGGTATCTTAGTTCCCCGATCAGGGTTTGAACCTGCTCCCTTTGCAATGGGAGCATGGAATCTTAACCACTGGACTACCAGGGAAGTCCCAGGAAGTACATATTTAAATGGTTATCAACTAAGGGTGGTGATATTTACATTGCATTAACACTAAAAATAGGATAACATATTTACTCATAAGGATGATTTTAGACTAGAGGGGAAGAGTTTCTTGAAAATAATAATGTCTGGGTACCAGGTTGGGCTTCTAGGAAAGGTTATGAAACTTCCTTCTATGAAGTTGTATAAGATAAAGGCAATGACTGGAGGACTGCATGATGTATGATGCTCTTAAGCTCTGGGCACACTCTAACAAATAAGTCAAAACATGAAGTACATGCAGAATGAACAATGGCTTGTTTGCTAACTCACTCATTCATCCCCTATTTTCTCCAGCAGACCACTGTTATTTGTCATGTAGCTTAAGTTTCAGTAGTATCACATATGACTTGAGAGTAGGTAATCTTGTTCTGTATTTCTATCTTTGGTGGCATTTGGCACAGAGAAATGCTCAGTAAATGTCTTGATTCATTAATTAAACTAAAACTGAAGTTCTTACCTTTTCATCATGAGGTGATTCCAAGAAGGAACTGATACTACAAAGGATAGCGTGTCCTTCTGTATGAAATTTAAACATTGGAATTTTTAATTAGATATTCTCTTGTCTAAGTAATTATTAATACTACTCAGACTTGTTTTGATCAAGTTGTTTTGATTCAAGCATTTAAAATGGTAATTAAAATATTATCTGAAAGGTGTAGTGCTGCCGCAGCAGCCACAACAAGAACTTGAGCAGGGTGGTGACCATGCAGGAGGTGGGCTCACTCTTGGAGGCACCGCAGGGCACCATTGCTGCACTGGTTCTGTACCTGCTCAGAGTGTTCTTAGCGATGGCCTGGAAATCTGGTGGTGCAACCCCTCAGAGCTAGTCCACAACCTCCACAGTAACGGAATCCTCAAGGCAAAGTATTTGAAGTAATGTTGGCCTCATACTGCTCTCACTATGCAAAATGAAACCTTTTTATGGATTCTTCACAATCTATGGGGTTCCAAGCAACAATTAGTACTCCACATATGCATGCATATGTACTAGAACTTCTGTTTGATCCGCTGCATGAAGGAGTTAAGGCTGTAGAAGATGGAAGTGGGACCCTTAAACTGCATGTTTTGCATGTATGGTTGGGTCTAGTGGAAAAGTCATAGGAATTGATTACACTAAAGAGCTACTAAGTGAGTGAAGTCGCTCAGTCATGTCCAACTCTTTGCGACCCCATGGACTGTAGCCCGCCAGGCTCCTCTGTCCATGGGATTCTCCAGGCAAGAATACTGGAGTGGGTTGCCATTTCCTTCTCCAGGGGACCTTCCCAACCCAGGGATTGAACCCAGGTCTCCCGCATTGCAGGCAGATGCTTTATCCTAAACTATTCAGTAAATAATGTCGGAAAGGATGACCCAGTGCTTTTGTTTCCAGGGAGACTGCAGCTGCTTGTGGGGGGTAGAAGATGGAGTATGCTGAAGAAGTATGCTATTCATGCAGGAGCCACAGACCCAGCTGTGTCCCCAGGCACTAATAGACCAGTTAAAGCCTGCCAGAAGATTGATATTACAAGTGGTCTGCAGGTGAAAACCAGATATTGGAGTAATGTGACAAGCTACGTGTTGGCAGTGTCAAAATGAAATCTCACAATGTTGTGATGTGAACAGAAAAGTGATTCAGTTATATAAGTATATCCTTTTTCAGATTATTTTCTATTATAGTTTGCTGCAAGATATTGAATATAGTTTCCTATGCTATATAGTTGTTGCTCAATCACTCAGTTGTGTCAGACTCTTTGCAACCCCATGGACTGCAGCACACCAGGCTTCCCTGTCCTTCACAATCTCCTGGAGTCTGCTTGAACTTATGTCCATTGAATCAGTAATGCCATGCAGCCATCTCATCTTCTGTCATCCTCTTCTCCTTCTGCCTTCAATCTTTCCCAGCATCAGAATCTTTTCCAATGAGTTGGGTCTTCACATCAGGTGGTCACAGGATTGGAGTCTCAGCTTCAGCAACACTCCTTCCAGTGCATACTCAGGATTGATTTCCTTTAGGATTAACTGGTTTTTTAACTCCTTGCAGTCCAAGGGACTCTCAAGAGTCTTCTCCAACACCACAGTTCAAAAGCATCAATTCTTCAGCGCTCAGCCTTCTTTATGGTTCAGTCGCACATGCATACTTGACTACTTGAAAAACCATGGCTTTGACTAGATGGACCTTTGTTGGTAAAGTGATGTCTTTGCTTTTGAATATACTTAGGTTTGTCATAGCTTTTCTTCCAAGGAGCAAGCATCTTTTGCTTTCATGGCTGCAGTCACCATCCACAGTGATTTTGGAAATAAAAAAAAAAAAATCAAGAAAATAAAGTCTGTCACTGTTTCCATTATTGTATACTGTGCTCTACAGTAGGACCTTGTTGTTTGTCTGTTTTGTATATAGTACTTTGTATCTGATGATCTCAAGCTCCTAATTTACCCTAATTTATCCCTCCTCCCCCACTTTAACGTTTGGTAACAGTAGATTTGTTTTCTGTCTCCGTGAGTCTGTTTCTATTTTGTAAATAAGTTTATTTAAATAAAGATAGCTTTACAATCTACTGGTAATACTGAATGCAAACATAAATAATTATTTTCTACAATCTCCAGAAGACTCCAGTAATTGTGAATACAAAATAATACATTGAGACTTTTGTAAGGCAACTTTTCAAATGAAAAATTAGTTTTTAAAAGAGGAGACATAAAATTTAGATATTAGTATAATAGCAATATCCGGATGTAGATCTCAAGATTACATTAGAAATAAGGGTTGGCTGTGATAAAAAGAAGGGTAATGTAGGCTAAGCCTGAGAGAAGAAAAGAAAGCTTAGGCTTAATTCAAAAGAAGAGAGGAAATAGGAAGGAAGCATTAAAAAAAAAAAGAATAGTGTTACATGAAAGAATTAAGACCAACTATATTGGTTATAACAATAAAAGTCACCTATAAAGAACAAATAATCCCTTTCTTCTCATGCATGACTCCCTTTAGAATGAAGGTCAATGCAACATAACCCTTTTAAGGTTATAAATAAAATCTTTACATTATTCCCAATATGCAAATAAGGGAGTGGGAGTCCTATACAGAACTCCTACAGGACTGGGGAAGCAGACTATTGGAGGGCACAACAAAACCTTATGCTCACCAGGATCCAGGAGAAAGGAGCAGTGATCCCACAAGAGACTGAGCCAGTCTTGCCTGTGAGTGTCCGGAGTCTCTGGTGGAACGTGGGTCAACAGTGGCCTGCTGCAGGGTCAGGGGCACTGACTAAAGGGTTTGTGGAGCCATGGTGTGCTGGCATAAGTCCCTTTGAAGGAGGTCACCATTATGCCATTAGCCCAAACTATAGGGAGGGAACACAGCCCCACCCATCAGCAGAAAATTGGATTTAAGATTTATTGACCATGGCCTTGCCCACCAGAACAAGATCCAGATTTGCCCACAGCCAGTCCCTCCCACCATGAAGCTTCAACAAGCCTCTAATCCTCATCCATCAGAGGGAGAAAGAGTGAAAACCACAATCATAGGAAGTGAACCAAACTGAGCACATAGATCACAGCCCTGTCTAAATCAAAGGAACTGTGAGCCATGTCATGTTGGGCCACCCATGATGGATGGGTCATGGTGGAGAGTTCTGACAAAATGTAGTCTACTGGAAAAGGGAATGCCAAACCTCTTTAGCATTCTTGCCTTGAGAACTCCATGAACAGTGTGAAAAGGCAGAAAGATGTGACACTGAAAGATGAACTCCCCTTGGTAGGTGCCCAATATGCTACTGGAGATCAATGGAAAAATAGGTCCAGAATGAATGAAGAGGCTGAACCAAAGCAGAAAGAACGCCCAGCTGTGGGTGTGTCCTGTGGTGAAAGTAAGGTCTGATGATGTAAAGAACAATATTGCATAGAAACTTGGAATGTTAGGTCCATGAATCAAGGGAAATTGGAAGTGGTTCAACAGGAGATGGCAAGACTGAACATCGACATTTTAGGAATCAGTGAACTAAAATGGACTGGAATGGACAAATTTAATTCAGCTGACCATTATATCTACTACTGTGGGCAAGAATCCCTTAGCAGAAATGGAGTAGACATTATAATCAGCAGAAGAGTCCGAAATGCAGTACTTGGATGCAGTCTCAAAAACAACAGAATGATCTCTGTTCATTTCCAAGGCAAACCATTCACTATCACAGTAATCGAGGTCTATGTCCCAAAAAATAATGCTGAAGAAGCTGAAGTTGAATGGTTCTTTGAAGACCTACAAGACCTTCTAGAACTAACACCAAAAAATATATCCTTTTCATTATATAGGGGAATGGAATGCAAAAGTAGGAAATCAAGAGATACCTGGAGGACCAGGCAAGTTTGACTTTGGAGTACTAAATGAAGCAGGGCAAAGACTAACAGAGTTTTACCAAGAGAATGCACTGGTCATAGCGAACACCCTCTTCCAACAACACAAGAGATGACTCTACACATGGACATCACCAGATGGTCAATACTGAAATCAGATTGAATATATTCTTTGTAGCTGAAGATGGAGTCACTATGCAGTCAACGAAAACTGGGAGCTGACTGTGGCTCAGATCATGAGCTCCTTATTGCTACATTTAGATTTAAATTGAAGAAAGTAGGGAAAACCACTGCACCATTCAGGTATGACTTAAATCAAATCCCTTATGATTATACAGTGGAAGTGACAAATAGATTCAAGGGATTAGATCTGATAGACAGAGTGCCTGATGAACTATGGACAGAGGTTCATAACATGGTATAGGAGGCGGTGATCAAAACCATCCCCAAGAAAAAGAAACGCAAAAAGGCCAACTGGTTGTCTGAGGAGACCTTACAAATATGTGAGAAGAGAAGAGAAGCAAAAGACAAAGGAGAAAAGGAAAGATATGCCTATCGAAATGCAGCATTCCAACGAATAGCAAGGAGAGATAAGAAAGCCTTCCTAAGTGAACAATGCAAAGAAATAGAGGAAAACAATAGAGTTGGAAAGAGAATTAGAGACACTAAGGGAACATTTTATGCAAAGATGGGCACAATAAAGTACAGAAATAGTATAAACCTAACAGAAACAGAAGATATTAAGAAGAGGTGGCAAGAATATACAGAAGAACTATACAAAAAAAAAAATCTTAATGATCCAGATAACCACTATGGTGTGACCACTTACCTAGAGCACAAGCTGGAATCAAGCTGGGAGAAATATCAATAACCTCAGATATGCAGATGACACCACCCTTATGGCAGAAAGTGAAGAAGAACTAAAGAGCCTTTTGATGAAAGTGAAAGAGGAGAGTGAGAAAGCTGGTTTAAAACTCAACATTCAAAAATGAAGATCATGGCATCATGTCTCATCACTTCATGGCAAATAGATGGGGAAACAATGGAAACAGTGATAGACTTTATTTTCTTGGGCTCCAAAATCACTGTAGATGGTGACTGCAGCCATGAAATTAAAAGATGCTTGCTCCTTGGAAGAAAAGCTATGACCAACCTAGAGAGCATATTAAAAAGCAGAGATATTACATTGCCATCAAATGTTTGTATAGTCAAAGCTGTGGTTTTTCCAGTAATGTATGGATGTGAGAGTTGGACCATAAAGATGGCTGAGTGCTGAAGAATTTGTGTTTTTGAACTGTTGTGTTGGCAAAGACTCTTGAGAGGATTCCTTGGATAGCAGGGAGATCAAACCAATCAATCCTAAAGGAAATCCATCCTGAATATTCATTGGAAGGACTGATGCTGAAGCTGAAATTCTGCTACTTTGGCCACCTGATGCAAAGACTTGACTCATTAGTAAAGACCCTGATGCTGGGAAAGATTGAAGGCAAGAGAAGGGGATGACAGAGAACAAGATGGTTGGATGGCATCACCGACTCGATGGACATGATTTTGAGCAAACTCCGGGAGATGGTGATGGACAGGGGCGCCTGGCATGCTGCAGTCCATGGAGTTGCAAAAAGTCGGACACAACTGAGCAAGTGAACAACAGTCCTATACCCAATTATAGACAGAAGAAATCATATGTCTTGCTTTAAATACAGAGCTGGGAATGAAATAGGAGAGATAAGAAAGACTTCCTTAGCGATCAATGCAAAGAAATAGAGAAAAACAACAGAATGGGAAAGACTAGAGATCTCGTCAAGAAAATTAGAGATACCAAGGGAACATTTCATGCAAAGATGGGTTCGATAAAGGACAGAAATGGTATGGACCTAACAGAAGCAGAAGATATTCAGAAGAGGTGGCAAGAATATACAGAAGAACTGTACAAAAAAGATATTCATGACCCAGATAATCAGGATGGTGTGATCACTCACCTAGAGCCAGACATCCTGAAATGTGAAGTCAGGTGGGCCTTAGAAAGCATCACTACGAACAAAGCTAGTGGATGTGATGGAATTCCAGTTGAGCTATTTCACATCCTGAAAGATGATGCTGTGAAAGTGCTGCCCTCAATATGCCAGCAAATTTGGAAAACTCAGCAGTGGCCACAGAACTGGAAAAGGTCCATTTTCATTCCAATCCCTAATAAAGGCAATCCCAAAGAATGCTCAAACTACCGCACAATTTCACTCATCTCACATGCTAGTAAAGTAATGCTCAAAATTCTCCAAGCCAGGCTTCAGCAATATGTGAACCGTGAACTTCCAGATGTTCAAGCTGGTTTTAGAAAAGGCATAGGAACCAGAGATCAAATTGCCAACATCCGCTGGATCATCGAAAAAGCAAGAGAGTTCCAGAAAAACATCTATTTCTGCTTTATTGACTATGCCAAAGCCTTTGACTGTGTGGATCACAATAAACTGTGGAAAATTCTGAAAGAGATGGGAATACCAGACCACCTGACCTGCCTCTTGAGAAACCTGTATGCAGGTCAGGAAGCAACAGTTAGAACTGGACATGGAACAACAGACTGGTTCCAAATAGGAAAAGGAGTACGTCAAGGCTGTATATTGTCACCCTGCTTATTTAACTTATATGCAGAGTACATCATGAGAAATGCTGGGCTGGAAGAAGCACAAGCTGGAATCAAGATTGCCGGGAGAAATATCAATAACCTCAGATATGCAGATGACACCACCCTTATGGCAGAAAGTGAAGAAGAACTAAAGAGCCTCTTGATGAAAGTGAAAGAGGAGAGTGAAAAAGTTGGCTTAAAGCTCAACATTCAGAAAACTAAGATCATGGCATCTGGTCCCATCACTTCATGGGAAATAGATGGGGAAACAGTGGAAACAGTGTCAGACTTTATTTTTTGGGGCTCCAAAATCACTGCAGATGGTGATTGCAGCCATGAAATTAAAAGACGCTTACTCCTTGGAAGGAAAGTTATGACCAACCTAGACAGCATATTAAAAAGCAGAGACATTACTTTGCCAACAAAGGTCCGTCTAGTCAAGGCTATGGTTTTTCCAGTGGTCATGTATGGATGTGAGAGTTGGACTGTGAAGAAAGCTGAGCGCCGAAAAATTGATGCTTTTGAACTGTGGTGTTGGAGAAGACTCTTGAGAGTCCCTTGGACTGCAAGGAGATCCAACCAGTCCATCCTAAAGGAGATCGATCCTGGGTGTTCATTGGATAGAGTGATGCTGAAGCTGAAACTCCACTACTTTGGCCACCTCATGCGAAGAGTTGACTCATTGGAAAAGCCCCTGATGCTGGGAGGGATTGGGGACAGGAGGAGAAGGGGACGACAGAGGATGAGATGGCTTGATGGCATCACCAACTCGATGGACATGAGTTTGAGTAAACTCCAGGAGTTGGTGATGGACAGGGAGGCCTGGCATCGTGATTCATGGGGTCGCAAAGAGTCAGACACGACTGAGTGACTGAACTGAACTGACATCCTTTCATTCTTCTGTTTATTTGGCAGCTTGGGCATCCTTCCTTTTGTTTCAACAAATGTCACGGTGTTATCCTATATCCATTTTTATATCATGTAGGTTGTTAAGATACCTGTGGCCAACTGCATAACGGCAGTGACTTACCCATATTTCCAGTCAGTAGTATTCTTGCACATGAATCAGTGAACAGCGATGTCAGAGAAATGGCAGCATGTTTTGTGAAAGGTAGAATATCTTTCAGTAGTCTTCCCTGTATAAAATATGATAATAAATTATATAAACATCAGTATTGGAGTTGAGTTTACAGATAATTTATTCCAAGAGCTATCTACTAATTATAACATGATTCCTTTGTAATAAAAATAATTTGAAATTATCTATAGGGACTTATTTCCTTGAAGCTAAATATTAGTAAAAGTGGGGTCAACTGTTAATTATAACCACCTAGACCCTTATTACTGCAGATCCCCTCTATACTTGTAGGTTTTTTTCTGTCACTTCTGATAACCCTCTTCATGCAGTTCCTCAACCCCTTTCCAGTGATATATTCTCCTTTTAAATAAACATGATTTTCAGATTTAAGTGTTTCTCACTTACTTTAAGCCAGAATATTGTATTTGTCCTTTTGGAAATATCTATTTTTGAATATTGGTACAAAACAGATTGCAAGAGATTCAAATTTGGCAGACTTTTTCAGTGCTTAGTGTAAGTCATCACTGACCTTCATGTACATTTCTATACTTACTTGAAGAATAAAAGTCAAAACATAGGAAGAAAAAGTTTGAATCTGCTACTTGTTTCCTGAGATTTAGTTGGATATAATATTTTCTCCTCCTACTGTTCTCACACTTTTATTATTTACCTATTGGGGGGGGGCGGAGGGGGGAACATCACTGCTCCGATACCTGGATCATCTCAGGGAAAATTATTGTTTACAGTATTTCATAGCATTTTCAAACCAAGAGTTTCTCACTAATAAGTTAGAATCAACTGATCAAGTTGGAGGTTTATACAGCAGACAGCATGCTGCTCTGTGTTGTTGAACACCACTAACTGCCATACAAAACTTGCTGTTTTCTGGGTTTCCCTCTAGAAAGGAATCTTAGAAGTGATGCCACCTCCCTTGCTGTTCACCATCATCAGTCTACTCAAGATCCTTACTTCTGTCGTTTCTGTCCACCTAATTCAAACCTCCTGCCCTACTTTCCACCCCCAAATCACTTAAAATCTTTCAGTAAATGAAGGTTATCCCTTCATTGTAAAGTGTTTAGGACCCTCAATATAATGTAATAACTTCTTCCAGTAGTTTGGAAAGCTAAAATTTCATGTATATTCCACATCTCAGTGTTCTCACAGTCTTTAATGATGTATTCATCATTAATACTATCATGTTATTTAAATCTTAGTTTTCTGAATGCTGTTTTAAGCCAACTTTTTCCCTCTCCTCTTTCACTTTCATCAAGAGGCTCTTTAGTTCTTCTTCACTTTCTGCCATAAGGGTGGTGTCATCTGCCTATCTGAGGTTATTTATATTTCTCCCGGCAATCTTGATTCCAGCTTGTGCTCCTTCCAGTCTAGCATTTCTCATGATGTACACTGCGGCCGAGAGGAGCTTCCCCATGTCTGAGGACAGGGGAGGCAGCCTAGAGGAGCTACCATGCCCGAGGTCGGGGCGGCGGCCTAGAAGAGCTACCACAAGCCCTAGGTCAGGGGCAGCAGCCGAGAGGAGCAACCACACCTCCAAGGAGCGGCTGCTGTGGGGCACCGGAGGGCTGAGAGGAGCTACTCCATGTTCAAGGTCAGGAGGGGCGGCTATGAGAAGATACCCCT